CGGTACCAGTCCCATGGCACGACAGTCTCCACGCTGTGAAGGTCCTGTAGTCTTGCAGTTTTGATGGTGTCAACAACGGCGTAGCTCCAGCCATCATGGTACGACTTCATTCGAATCATGGAGGGCATCCTCCTAGAAGCGTCCTCATCATCTGAGGATTCGTCTTCATCCAGATCCCGGCTCAGCCGCGGGTCAAATTGCATCTCATCAGCAAACCGCTTTCCTAGTGCCAAAGCAGCGGAATGTACCAGTGAGAACCCTGCTTCAGTAGACTCTCGCACATCTTCTTGCACAAAATGTGCGTCTTGTCGAATCAGAGCCCGGTACACCTTGACGTCTTGCGTCGTGAACGCCCCAAGACGAAGCGCCTCAGCCCGCTCTCGCAATGGCATGTCATAGTAGTCCGGTAGGAAGTGGCGTCGGAAGACGCGGAGCCAGTCGTCGCCGTAGGAGCATTCCGTCTCGAACTCGAACATGCGCTCGATGCCGAGGGTCTCGATCTTGTCGCTGCGGGACTGGAATAGAGAGACAAGGGCTCGGTGCTTGGGGTCGTCTTGCGGTGCGAGGTTCTTGCGGGACATGACGAGGGTGCTCAAGGGACTCCTTGGGATGGATCAGATGCTGGAATTTTGTGAATGACATTGGTATGTGGCTTACTCTGAAGTAGCGTCTTTGTCGTCGATGAAGTTCTCGAGGCCTAGATCGAGCAGTGTCTTGCAGGTTTCGACCTGCTCCGAGGATGTTGCGTACTGCGAATGGTGAGCTGGGCTGGCCGAAAGCAGACATGCCGTGGACTTACGTATAAGAGTGACGCGCCCTGCTCGTCTCTATCAAGCGGTGACGCTTCTCCCTTACTAAACATGCCCATCATGGCATTCACGTCGCCTTCATTGACGACGGAGAAGATGGCACTTCGCTGCGACCGCACACTAAACGACCGCAGACTTTGCTGCCAACCTCCTGCGATGCTCCAACAGAGCTGGACCTCCCACACAGCTCGAGATATCCAGGCTGGAAGCTGCACGGCAACATTCCACTCATTTCGTTCTTTGGATGCTTTGGTCGCAAGCTTTCCTGTCGCCGTGGGTCTATACGAAGGTAGCCTGACGCCCTTCCAGGTAGACTCGGACCTAACGATGACATACTCTGTTGTTGGTCGCTTGTTGACTTGCTGATCTTCGAGCGTCGAAAGCTGTCTGGTGATGCTCGCAAGCTGAGTTGACACGTCAAAGGAGATCCTCCTTGCTATCCTGTCTTCCGAGAGTTGGTGTAACACTTTCTGCTCACGGACGACTTTCGCGGCCGTCTTCTCGGCGATCCGCTCCTGGGAAGCTTGCATTATCGCCCTGATCGCATGAGTAAAGGCACAGCTATTCAGATCTGTGCGATACAGAGCTTACCTGTCGTAACACCCAACGCACATCAAAACCATCCCAATCGCCGAGTCAAGCCTCCTCTCAAGCTTCTCCAGATCATCGCTCCGCAGCGCAGCCCACGCCAACCCCACCTTCCTACGCGCTCTACTCTTACGACTACCCGACGTCTTCCCATGTTGTTCTATACTGGCTTCGAGCTTTTTGATGAGCCCTGCGAGGGCGTCATGGGCTTTCTTCGCGTATGTGATGCAAGACTTCGCGTGCTGTGCCGAGAGGAGGTCCATGTCGGGATCATCTTGACAGCGACGAAGCAGGTCTTGGAGGACGGGCCCGAGGGCTTCGAGTCGATCGACTATATCTTGGAGGTCGGCCGGGATGTCTTCGATTTCGTGCCACAAGCGGACGGCTTTGACGACGCCGAGGCAGAGTTGGCCGAGGGCGATGCCGCTTGCTGCGGCGCCGATGGCTTCCATGTTGGAGTCGAGAAGGATTCAAATGTTTTTCATGGAAGCTTGATTACAACATTTCATGAAGACATGTTCGAAGTTGCGTGTGCAGGATTGATGGTCACACAGAAGAAATCCAAACCCCATGAGCGGGAGGCCGTCGCTCTGATCAATCAGAGAACCATCTGCGGCCGCCGATGGCCGTATGTCTCGAAGATCAAGGATTTATTTCGTACAGCCCCGATATAGCCACATCATAGCATCGCATTGGGGGCGGGACGAGCCTGTCCCGCGGGCGGCAAAGATGCAGCTTTTGACAGGGGTCTGTCGCCAGTCCCGGTGAACGCGTTGAGTTGAGCCACGGGCGCGACCCAACCAACATGATTTTGCAGTACTATTTGATCACTTGAAACTTAGCACTGAGTCATCATGTACCAAGTAATGCAAAGTCTAAAGGTGGATAATGTCAGGGTTGTTTGGATTCAGTCTCGTCGAAAAGCCTTCGGGTGGGTGAAGGCTCCCTCTAAATCATCTTCGTAGAAATGTTGGTGATAAGATGTGTGGTAAACTTAAATTTGAGAGTCTTCCTTAGTCTCTTGCGTGTGGTTGTTCTTAGCAGCTAAAGGCGCTAAAGATCTGATGTGGTGTTTCCCATCACGCGTGGTACTCATCTCTATCGTCGTATTCACTAGGAGTATCCTCAATATGAGGAATGAAGGAGTCCAACCTTAAAGGCTCTCTGGAGGCTGAAATCCTTTTGTCTGGGCGCAACAGTATTTGATAATGCATTCTTTCAAGTCATCTAAGTCCATTCTGAGTTCATCAGGGGCGGCTGAGCGATTGAGCGCCTTCATTTGCTTGCCTCTTAATCAAAGATAGGATTCCTATCATATATCTCTGAACTTGGCGGAGTTTGGTTTGTGGATGAGGGCTGGTTGAAGCCGTGCTGCTCAACTGAGATGCTGCTTTTGATGTTGATGAGTATGTTGATAAGATGATATGGCCTGGGAGTCATGGTGCCTTCAGGTGAGAACATCCGCTTCAAAGGTATGTATACAATGGACCTAACGCTCTATCTCATCTGCGAATAGACTGAGATTCAAACTTGTGCCCCACATCTTCTCATGAGCAATGCGATTAATGGCAGTGGACAGGAAAAAGGCCAGAGGTTAGCATTAAGGCTCTTGATGGTTCTTGAGAGATATGTAGATGGACCCCAGGTGATCTTCATATATCGCATTCATGTCTGGCTCAACTCATGATGGGTTTCGATTGGAGGTTAGTATTACCCAACTGATCAGACCTTGATTCATGAAATCTGGCACTGTTGCTCCCACTTATCAAACGCGCAATATACCGCCTCGCCCTTGGGAAACCTGAGTGGCAGTATCTCGACTTATGACTTGGATCTTTAGGGTCGAGAACCTGTCTTGCATAATTACGGGCTCTCAGGTTGACAAAACCCGCTGTATAGCAGAGGGTTGCCCCCATTGGACAGGTCACTTCTAAGGTTTGCTTTGCAGCAATTCTCCAGATATATTGGCACCTTTTCTACTTGCTTCACTGCATTTCAAACCCACCCCAAGGCACCTCAAGGGGATAAACTTGCGCGAAGACTTACAGCTCCAGGCTCTGAGGCTGTGTTCCCCGCTCAATTCATGTCTGCATGCCATCCAAGTTAGGCAGCCTGTGAGATTTCCCTCCACCCCACCATCCTTTCATCTTCACTGCATTTCAAACCAACCAAAAAGGAATAAACTCAAGTAACCTGCGGCGGTTCGACTGCCTGTTTCCGACAACTGTCCTTCACTTCGAATTCAACCTATCTCGCCCGGGGAGGATGAAGTCGACTGGCAGGAGATTTGGGCACAGGCCATTGTTTTAGCATCTCATAGAAGTGACAGAAGAGGCCTGGAACCATAGAAAGTAAAGACAAATGTTCACACTCCAACATCTACCAAGAGGTTTAGGTTCGGTGTCAAAGAACTGTTTGCCAGACAGAAGCACACGATCCAGGTTAACATTCATGCAACGCTTTTACATCTAGGTAGCTTAACTTAGACCAGGAGTCAACGAGAAGCGGTGAGACTCGGAGATCTAGACTCTTTTTAATTCCTTCTAGTTGCATGGCTACCAGTTACAACACGGGTAACCCGCCGCTTAAGCATCGACGGCAGCAGTTTGCGAATGGGACATCACGAACTCGACTTCCGGTCTTTAACTGTTCCGACCCAGCTCATACGCTGCGTTCTCTCAACATTGTGTAAGCGAGTATGTGATAGGTTATCGTTCCCAGTGGTTACAATATGGCTTGTGAATTCAGGCCAAACTAAATTTTCTTCACTGCAATCTTAACCCACCCGGAGAGGATGAAGTCGAAGACATCCCAGCACCCACTGCAGACGGAGGAGGTCTGGCACCTTTCAAAAACAAGGACGAGTCTCTATCTAGCCCCATCACTATAAGGCATCGTTGAATTTCCAACCGCCACTTCAATGTGACAGAGACTGGAATGTGTTTCTCGTCGGTGGGCTGTTTCAAAGCACGATCATGGTCTGATGCACATTATCCAGTTGATGCATGTCAGCTACTCCAACGCTTTTCGCTCATCATCCATCAAGAGCTACTCCTGCCGTCGTTCAGCCCCGTCCTTTGGGTGTTGCAAACACACTCAAGCATCTGGATGACAGGAAAATCAAGAGAAACCATATAATTCACGAAACCAGCGGTGAGCACGTCAAGATTCTGCAAAGCTTTTACTTTGAGGGTGGAGAGCCTGAGAGGTCGCAAATTAAACGATCGCTGTGGTCTAAATGCCTACACTCATCCTTGACCTTCACCTCGAGAAATGCATTGACTTGCGACAACCTAGGAACATGGATGAACAGTACGTTCAGCGCTGACGTTGATTAAGGTTGGTTGAGCATGATAGAACGTCTCCATCGAGTGTCTCGCCAAACACTCACTGAGCTGGTAATCATGGACCAGTGGTAACAGGACAATGATGAATGAGACTGAAGCAACAATCAATTACATTATCTGAGTTCAAGCGGTATGATATATTCCGTCCTGGTCCCATAAACTCTATACTGCTCTCTTCCATGCCAAAAACCACTCCGCCAATGTCCATAACTCATACATGTCAGTAACGTCGTGATAACATAAGAATCTCTCGGCTCTAAACCTTCACACCAACGCAACCTCCGGCAGGTCCATTTACCTCGTCGTCACAGTCAGCATCATGATCTGCGACCGCACGGCGTCCTATGATCCTGCTGCGCTTCATGTACCGGTTGGCCATGCTCTTCTTCGCGGAGCCATATCCAGTGAGTCCCTCAGGAGGAATAGCCGGGCCAGGCCCCATGAGCGGTCCAAGATCTGGAAGAGCGCCATCGCCGGAGCCATTGTCAGTACCTGCGGGCGCGTTGTTGCCACCAGCCCCAGAGTCCCTTGCTCTCAGACCGCTGCCGTATCCACCATCGGGGCTTCCTTTTGGTAAGGAGTTGATGATGCTCTGAAGCAGAGCCTCCAACTCTGCCTGTGACAATCCAAGAGGAGTGGGCGTTGGTGGAGGTGTCGCTGCAGCTGGCGGGTTTCCTGCGGGAGCTGATGCTGGTTGACTCTGAGGTGGGGCTACAGGCGCGGGAATGTTCGCAGGCGCGGGGGTGCTCGCGGGTGCCGGTGTATTTGCAGGAGTCCCCGAGGGAGGATTACCTTGAGGTGCAGATGAAGGGTTCTCGGCATTCGGATCAACAGCGCCACCATTGCCTCCAGAACCACCATTGCCGCCGGAGCCGTCGCCAGCGTCGTCGTCGGATGGCATGCTCAAAGCTTGACCATCAGCACTGTACACGGTGGCGGCCCAGTCACCTCCGCAAATGTCTGCAGACAGACCGTCACAGGGTTTGTTGCACTGCTCTCTCGGAAGGCGTTCGGCGATTTGGAACATGTTGCCACACCAGCACTCCGTTCCGTACTCAGTACCAGCAAGCTTGAAGCCCATAGAAGCGCAGTGCGCAATGCACTTCTCGTTGGACATGCTACCAGCAAAGTAGTCTGATGGGTCGCCGTCGAGTGTTCGGATGTTGGAATCCTTGAAACAGCCAAGAAGCTTCCAACCAGAGCAGTCCGAGGCAGCTTTGGGTGCAGCATTGTTGGGAGCGGCGTTGCCCGAACCTGCGTTGGGATCTCCAGCACCAGCACCCGCACCTCCGTTGCCAGTTGACGCCGGTGAAGGCGGACTCGTGTTGGCTGGTGCTCCGTTGCCACTCGGCGCACCTGATGCAGCACCTGCGCCCGCTCCATTGTTGGGGTTACCGTTGCCGGTGTTGCCTCCAGAGCTGGCGTTGGGATTGGGAGGAGATTGTGCAGGAGACGCTCCATTTCCATCAGGGGAGTTGGCCGGTGTAGCAGTACCAGACGTGTCAGGCAGGCCGTTTCCAGAGCCGTTTCCAGAGCCATTTCCTGAGCCATTTCCTGAGCCATTACCTGCGCCGGAACCGTTGTTGGGATCAGTAGGAGATGCGCTACTCGGAGGTGCCCCAGCTCCAGCACCACCGGTAGGTTGTCCATCATTGGAGGTTATGCACGGCGTCGTTGCGGTGTTGGCAGGACCGGCATTCGCGGGCGTAACAGCGGGATCTCCGTTGCCAGAGCCTCCATTGTTGCTACCCGAGCCGTTGCCAGAGCCATTGTTAGGGTTGCTGGCTGGTGGGTTGCTTGGACCTGCGCCATTGGCAGATCCATTGCCCGTTGGCTGACCTTCGTTTGCCGTAGAGCCAGGTGTTGATGCAGCACCATTGCCGTTACCGGAACCGTCGCCGGTAGGCTTCCCGTTGCCTGAGTCGCCATTGTTGGGACTTCCATTGCCGTTGGCAGAGCCATCATTGAGGTTGCTTGCTGGGCTACTGTTGCCATCTCCATTTCCAGAGGCATTTGTCGGCTGGGAATCTTTTGCCGTAGAGCAGGGAGTTGATGAAGCCCCATCGCCATTGGAGCCGTCACCAGCACCGTTTCCAGAACCATTGCCTTCTCCATTGCCATTCCCGTTGCCATTGCCGTTACCATTGTTAGAGCCGTTGCCAGAACCGTTGCCGCCATCTCCGGGAGCTGCGGTAGGTCCAGGAAGGACGAAAGCAGTTACGGTGGTGATGACCACATTGGCCGGGCCGTTGGCGCCTCCTGATCCCACGCCTGCATCCGAAGGGGCACAGTACCAGCCACCTTTGCAGTGATAGCAAGGCCAGCCCATCCCGCACGGAGCAGGCACCATTGGCGTCTCCTGAGGGGGGCAGAACCAGCCGTCGAGGCATTCCGAGCATGAGTATCCCCTTCCTGGGCAGGGACTAGAACCAGAGGGTGGCTTGGAGGGAGACTCTGGGCATGCTGGACATTGAACCAATGCAGGACAGTCGGAAATGGGGATGACTGGGGTGGATGGCGGGACGTTCCCCGATGGCGCGGGGGCTACTGGTTCTTCAACAGAAAAGATGCCGCCAGATTGACCTGTTGGAGACGCTCTGGAGTCGTTGCCTCCACCTGGCGTCGCAGCAGGAGCCTGCGAAGGGGCTTGCGAAGCGGCCGGTGAAGTCTCGGCGGTGACGGTGATTGAAGGGCTCGCTGCAGGTGCTGAAGGAGACGAAGTGACGGGAGCGGGAGCAGTTCTATCCGACTGGTCAGGGTTTGTAGAAGCAGAATTGGCTAGGAAAACATGTTAGCTTGTTTTTCGTCTCCGCACGATGGCAACTTACCAGGTGTAGGCGGTGTCGTAGGACTGCCCGATGGTGCGGGTGGTTGACCTCCTCGATCGGTGTTCTGAGGTTGGCCGTTGCTCGGGCTTGAAGTCTCAGGACGAGGTGCTGATGCCGTGAGTGCAGGACTTCCACCTCCAACAGAGGACGGATATGCCGGCGATGACTGGCCATTGCCAGCTGACGGAGAGATGGGTGATGACTGACCACCAGAAGACAGAGCAGTAGACGGAGCAGCGGACGATTGTTGCCCGCCAGTAGCGCTTGGTGTCAATGAGGGAACTTGGGAGGTAGCTCCGGCAGCTGGAGATGATGGAGAAGCACTGCCTGCGTTGCCATTCGCCGACTGAGAGGCAGATGAAGCAGACGGGACTGATGTGACTGAACCAATGGCACTTCCACTTGCCGGCATCGCGTCTGACGCAGGAACTCCGGACGACCTCGAAGGAAAATCAGAGCAAGGGACGGCAAGAAATGTTGGAATACCCTTGGCGATGTTGACGACAGTGCACAGCTCAGACTCTGTTGCATCTCCCAGAGTAGTGACCGGGCTTGGAGCGTCTCCCATGATAGGAATCGCAGTTGTGGCCTCACTGACAGCTTCAGAGACGGAAGCTAGAACACTTGATAATGCGGTGGAGTCGTCAGGAAGCTGTGGCGCGTTGAGCCCACCGAGATTCGTGGGAAGTGTCGAAGACTCAGGCAAGATGACTGTGGCCGCACCCAAGTTGCTGCTCAAATCCGGGATGATGGGGTTGTTAAGGGGGTCGGAGCTGCCGATAGGGACCATGGAAGTCATGATATTCCCAGAATCTGTCACAGCAGCGACAGCCGATGGCAATGGGGTAGGTGGGTTGTTCAGAAGAGATGTCGCGGCACCAACCGGTTGTGCAAGCTTGTCCGTGATGATGGGAAGATTGCCACCAACAGGAGCCTCGGTCATGCCAGGAACGGGAAACGGCAGTTGACCACCAGCTGAGGATGAGGCAGAATTAGGTGGTCCTGTAACGCCCGACAGAATTGACGGCACGACTGAAGTTACACTGCCGCCAACGCTGGCAGCTGCATTCACCAGACTCTGGACTGGTGTTCCATCGATGAAGGTGCCAACAACATCGCCAATGTTGACTGTTGAAGCTGCGGCAGCTACACCGCCTCCTGCGCGCCTAGCAGTCAGGGTTGCGATGATCCCACCAGCGTGGCTTGTGATATGGCTCAAAGCGCCGTCGACGACGCCACCAATAGCACCGAGAGGGCCTTGAGGTTGATTGTTGCCAGCTACAGGAGCTGCAGGAAGAGGAGTGGTGATGGCTGGCTGGTCTTGATTGGGAGCTGGAGCAGGTGGACGAAAGATGCTACCTGGAAGGGAGTCGATGCCGAAGAATTGTCTGCGTTCAAGATCTGAATTGCTTTTGGCGACCAGGTTAGAGCGGTCTTCCTCCAGAATTGGCTGGACTGCCTGGGTAACGGCAAAGGCTGTGAGGAGAGCCAGGACGATCAGGCTGATGATGACTGTCGTCTGCCTCTGTCGAGGCGTTGGTCCCGAAGGACAGGTGGGCCACATGATGGGCGATGGGGGCTATCGAAGCACGAATGGAATGAGTGAGATGACGAGATTTGTTCTGATGAGGACTGCCAGTGGGAATGAAGGTTCCAAAACCGGGTTCCAAGAAAACGAGCCAAAATTGTAGCGAGAGTGGGATGTGAGGAGGTTGTGTGGTGATGTTGGTGGGAGAAGAAGAGGAGACGTCGGGGGGATGGAGAGGCAGACGGATGATATACTCTGCCATGACCGAACCTGATAGCTTCCCATCAAGGCAGGTAGGAATGATTCCAGGAAGGCGTCATAGAGGTAGGAGAGCTGCCCGGGACATGATGGGAAGGGGGGTGCTGCTCTCTTTCCTGGGATGGTTGGGTGAGGGAAGGAGGTGTTGTGACCAAGGGAAGGAGACGGAGGCTGTACCTATTGCTGTGAAGCAGGAGAAGCTAGGCAAGCGTGCATTTGCACCTGCTTGATGCCATCTAGATAGCTTCTGGGGCAGCAACTCCTCCGCACACTTACCATTCTTTGCCTTCGTAACAAGCAGTACCGCCTGCTTTGATGCTTCCCTGTTTATTGACTCAAGTCGCCGGGATGAAGGTGAAGAATGCGTGATGCGGCAAGCCCTGATCCCCGCCGTCTAGTGGTATCAGCTTTCCTGTATCTCTTTGGCCGGCTCTGTAGATGGTGAATTTGAAGGTCACTCACATAATCCAAACCGGCCTTGGAATCGTACCAGGCAGCACAATTATCGACACCCATTGAGCAATAAGCCTTACTCGACCGACGCTTTGCCCAAAATTTCGTAGAATTCTCACTGTCTATCCGAACTGTCGTTTAAATCGATGCTTCGCCAATGCCAACATTGGATGCCTCCCATAGTCTTGATAAAGTCTCTCCAGCGCGGTCTCTCTCTCATCTTTCGATGTCTGTCTCGGCTTCCCCAGATCTGTCGCCAGACGCGCTCTACCCCCGAAAAGAAAAAAGCACCTTCCGTGACGTCTATGCCTTCTCTTCCTTGCCCCATCTCTGCGTCTCGTCGCCGCCTTGCCAGTCCTTCTCGACGTAGCCAATCTGGCTCTTGACCTTTTGCACGGTATCCTTGTCACCGGTGTTCTTTCCGATGTTGTCACTACAGGACTCATTAGCATCAACACCCCCAAACCCTCTCTTTCCGGAAGCACCTACCTAATCTTGATGGCCGGCTTCCCGTTCGCAGAGCTCAGCTTAATCACAATATTCAACGGCACAGACTTGGTGCCCGTCTTGAGGTGCTTAAAGTCATTAGTAAGGAACGTGCCCACGCCAAACGTCGGCGTGAAGCCCGCCGCCTCGGAAATGGCCTTGTACTGCAGACACTTGTCGATATCTAACGAGTCGGAAAACACCATCGTCTTCTTCTCCGTGATGCCCTGGCTGTCGTAGTACTGCCGCAGCATGTTGACGTAGTCCGCCGGGTCGCCCGAGTCCTGCCTGACGCCCTGGAACAGCTCCGCGTACGTCTGCAGCGTGCCGTCCGCCTTCTTGAACTGGCTGTCGTCCTCCCCGTCCAGCGCGTGCACCGGCTGGCTGAAGGAGCGCAGGAACTCCTGCGTGCCGAACGTGTCCGTCAGGGCAATCCCCAGCTTGCCGCCGAAGCACCCGACCCAGTAGCGCAGCGCCAGCTCTGTCGCGGCGCGGTAGTCGTCGTGGATGGCGGCGATGCCCATGAACCACTCGTGCGCGACGGTGCCGACGGGCGGGATGCCGAAGCGCATCGCCAGGTGGACGTTGCTCGTGCCCGTCAGCTTGCCTGGCAAGCCCTTCTTCTCGCCCTCCTTGCTCGCCTTGACGAGGCCGCGGAAGACGAGGGCCTGGGTGTGGTAGTCGCGGCGGCGACGGGTGCCGAACTCGGAGAAGGTGCAGCCGGCCTCGAGCAGGCGCATGCCCTTGTCGAAGGCCTGCTCCTCCTGGCCCTCGTAGCTCCAGTCGGTGTCCATGAAGCGGAAGTAGGCCTCGGAGGTGAGGGCCAGCAGGGGGATCTCGTAGAGGATCGTCTCGAGCCACGCGCCCTTGATCTCGACGTGCAGGTCGCCAATGTCGGAGTCGGCGCCGGTGTCCTCGCCGACGGGGTGGAAGGTCGCGATGGCCTGCTTGCTCGGGTGCAGGCGGAACTCCTTGAGGAAGTTGACGTACTCGTCGGTCAGGTAGGTGCAGTGGGTCCTGAGGAAGCGGTACTCTTCGTCGGAGAGGGAGATGTTGCCGAGTTCTGGTGTTGCGCGTGTGGTGAGTCAAATGTTCAATCGCGCATCATGAAGGAGGGGCAAGGGGTTACTCACTTCGGATTTGCTCCTGCAGCCAGTTGAAGGCGGCTCTCGACAGCTTCTTCTCGGGTGTGCGGTTTGTGAAGGCGTAGGTGACGGGGACGTCTCTGAAGTACTTGAAGACGGCGCATTGCATCGTCAGCTTGTACAGATCGGTATCCAGGAAGGATATGACGCCCTCGGGGAAGGGCGAGGAGCTGTTGAAATCCATGATCGCTGGTTGTTCACAGACGTGGCGCGGGCTCGGCGTGCGGAATTATCGTTGGTCAATTCGTCGTCGCTGAGGGGATGCGACGAGAAGAAAAGTTTGGAGTCTACGCGCTGTGCAATCGGAGAAGAATCTGCAGGCGAGGTCGGACTCCAGGTTTGACGAGCGGCGCGCGATCGTGACAAAGCTCGGAGGGGGTGGAGGGTGGAGGGGTGGTGAGGAGGGGGAGGGGTAGCACACGCTGCACCGGCGGCTCAGTGTGTTTGGTTTGGCGGGAGGATGACGAATCGGCGGGACTCGGCAAGCCTGAGCTGGGAAAGCTGCAACCGCGAGAGAAGCTAGCCAAGGCAGTTATCCCTAGCTAAGCTTGCTGATTGATAAGGCGGCGGGCGGGTTGGCAGGGGTTGTGAAGTTTCAATGCGACTTTTAGGTGTCGCAGTTGAGATTCAGACAGCGGAATGAGGGGCGGAGGGGGGCATGAATCGCCCTTTTTTTTGTGGTTGGTTTTGAGAGTTGTATGGAGACAGGCTGATGTAATTCTGAAGCCCATTGTTTTGAATGTTTTCAGTAAACCCTTCTTTACCACTTACCTTGAGAGTCTACAGTTTCGGTGAGGCAAGTCTATGAAGAGAGATAAAACAAAGAGGTACTTTTGCATTATGACAACTGACGATTCAAATCGCGGAGATGGCCGCATTCAATGACAAGTTCGGCGCTGTCCACCACCTGCATTCCAGTCGTTGACACAGTCAGCCCGCAGCTCGCATTCAGAACCAAAGTGACTTACATAATAAGCTAAGGTGAGTGTGGTGGCCGCTGCAGAAGGGGTCCAATTGGCAACCGTCAACTGGAATGACGCGCGGCACTGTCACCTCTTGTGTTTGCAATGAGAAAGAACACTATGCGCCGTATGATAACATGCTCAATCCCGTTGCTGAGAAGACTTAAACCAACGAACAGAAACACCCGACGGAGCCCACCACTAAAACATCATTCGTTTGAATGAAGAACAGCCGCAGTAACGCACGCAATCACCCAGGCACACAGAGAATCAGCCAAGTCCCTGCTTGCTTGGCCCTCTCACGGTCTCATCCTCTCAGATGGCCTCCCGCCGGCGGGGTGGAGGGGCACCCTGTGCACAGACCACACCTTATTATTTTTCATCGCTCCGAACGCCGACAAAATTTTGGCAGTCGTAATTTTTTTTATTTTTTTTTCCCCAGACCAGCGACGAGGCAGAGCTGCGAACCCGAAAAAACATCGCCAGCCTCACAAACCCCCACGACGACGACGAACCGCTGCCTCACTCTCTACGGGCAACTCATACCTTCGATCGAGCTCAATTGATACCCTCTCTAATTCTCGTCGGCCCGGCCAGGAGGCCAAACCACACACCACGATGGACCTCCACCGCTGCCGCTTCATCGCGTACCCTCCCTCCGCCATCAACGCCCTCGCCTTCTCCCACCCCTCCGCCCGCACGAAGCAGCACTCCGCCCTCTCCCGCCTCGCCGTCGGCCGCGCGAACGGCGACATCGAGATCTGGAACCCCCTCAACGGCGCCTGGCTCCAGGAGACCGTCCTCCGCTCCGGCGCAGACCGCTCCGTCGACGGCCTCGTCTGGGTGACCGACCCCGACGACACCCCTTCCGCCCCCGGCGCCGCCACCATCCCAGGCCGCGCGCGCCTCTTCAGCATCGGCTACACCTCCGCCGTCACCGAATGGAACCTCGAGACCGGCCGCCCCCTGCGCCACGCCTCCGGCCAGCACGGCGACATCTGGTGCCTCGCCGCCCAGCCCCCGGCCTCGCCCTCCGACCCCGTCACCCGCCTCGTCGCCGGCACCATCGACGGCGTCCTCGCCCTCTACTCCGTCGAGGACGGCGAGCTGCGCTTCCAGCGCATCCTCGTCAAGTCCCCCACCAAGAAGGTCCAGATGGTCAGCATCGCCTTCCAGTCGCGCCACACCTTCGTCGTCGGCTGCTCCGACTCCACGCTCCGCGTCTACGACATCAAGCGCGGCTCCTGCCTCAGCAAGATGACCATCGGCCCCGAGAAGGACCGCAAGGACGCCGGCGCCAGGGAGCGCGCCGACATCATCGTCTGGAGCGTCAAGACGCTGCCCTCGGGCGACATCGTGTCGGCTGATTCGGCCGGCCAGGTCTGCATCTGGGACGGCAAGACGTACACCCAGGCGCAGCGCATCCAGGGCCACCGCCAGGACGCCCTCAGCCTGGCCACCAGCGCCGACGGCTCCGCCATCATGAGCGGCGGAATGGACCGCCGCACCGTGCTCTACAAGAAGACCTCCGGCAACGGCGCCAGATGGGGCAAGGTCTGGAGCAGGAAATACCACGAGCACGACGTCAAGGCCATGGCCTCGTTCGAGAGCAGGAGCGTGAGCATCGTCGTCACAGGAGGTAAGCTTCCACATTCCCATCATACATCCCAACCAAAATTACTAACTAAACCCCCAAAGGCCCCGACGCCTCCCCCGTCGTCCTCCCGCTCAAGGAACTCGGCCGCGAGAACCACAGAACCCTCCCCCACCTCCCCCAGACGCCCCCCCTCGCCAGCGCGCCCGATGCCCGCCTGCTCATCAACTGGTGGGACAACCAGGTCGAGGTCTGGAAGCTGCAAAACTCCTTCGACGGCCTCTTCGGCGACGGCGTCGCCCCCGCCGACAAGGACAAGGACCTCGACACCAACCGCAAGCTGCTCAAGACCATCCTCGTCAACGGCGACTCCTCCATCTCCTCCGCCGCCATCACCCCCGACGGCTCCCTCTGCGCCGTCGCCACCCCGACCGCCCTCAAGGCCTTCCACCTCCGCCACGACGGCAACCCCACCAAGCCCTCCGACGTCGCCGTGTCCACCATTCCCGTCCCGGCCTCCTTCGCCTCCAACGGCGCCAGCAAGGTCATCCTCTCCCCGGACGGCGCCTGGCTCGCCGCAGTCCAGGACGGCTCCAAGGTCCTCGTCGCGAGAATCACGCGCGACGCCGACACCGGCGCCGTGACCATCGAGAAGCCCCGCGCCGTCGCCCGCCTCCGCCGCAACGTCCCCAAGCACCAGTCCCACGGCGGCCTCGGCAGCTACGAGAGGACCGTCGCGCACCTCGCCTTCTCCCCGGACAGTCGCATGCTCGCCGCCGCCGACCTGGCCGGCTATATCGACACCTGGGTCTTCGGCACCCCGTCCCCCCGCGCTGAAGACGACGACGAGGAAGATTCCGCCGACTCCGACTCCGACGATGCTCCCGCCGACGCCACGGAGCGCTGGATCCGCAACCCAACCGCCTCCCTCCTCCCCAAACTCCCCGCCACCCCCGTCGTCCTCTCCTTCTCCCCAGACCTCGCAACCACCGCCGACAACGCCCCAGAGTACACCCTCGCCGCCGTCACAACCGCCTGGCACATCCTCATCTTCAACCCCGCCGCCGGCTCCCTCAACGCCTGGTCGCGCCGCAACCCCGTCTCCCGCCTGCCCGCGACCATCCGCGAGACACGCGACCTCGCCAAGGGCGCCCTCTGGCAGGGCCCGCGCGTCTGGATCTACGGCATCAACTTCCTCTTCATGCTCGACCTCTCCCAGGACCTCTCCGCCCCCGTCGCCGTCGCCGACCCGGACACCGCCGTCGTCGTCCACGCGCACGCCGCGGGCACCAAGCGCAAGCGCAAGGGCCCCGACTCCGGCGCCGGCTCCAAGATGTCCATCGGCGCCATCGTCCCCGCGCAGGTCGACCGCTTCGTCGCGGCCAAGGGCACCAAGGAGTGGCAGGACGACATCGAGGCCCGCGCCCCCGCGGACGCGATGGACGTCGACTCCGACGCGGTCTCCGCCGACGAAGCTGCCGCTGCGGGTTCCGACTCGGAAGAGCCCGAGTCCGGCCTCGCCACGCTCCGCGGCCGGCAGGAGGAGACTCAGGCCGAGGATGGCGCCGGCAAGACCCGCTGGTGGCACACGTACAAGTACCGACCCATCCTGGGCATAGCGCCGCTCTCCGGCACCGGCGCCGCGTCGCTCGAAGCCGTCCTCGTCGAGCGGCCGCTGTGGGAGGTGGACCTGCCCGAGAGGTACTTTGGCGCCGACGAATGGGAGAGGTGAGAGAGTGTGTGTCCAACACGCTCTGCCCTGCCCCTCTGGCCGACCAACCAACCCCTCCTCGTGGGCACGCATCTCAGCGGGGCGCTCATTTCCCGGGCAGTGTCATAGGCACAGCTGGGAAGACAGGACCTCCGAGGAGGAGGGAGAGGATGGAGGGAGAGGGGGGGGGGGGGGGGGGGGGGGGGCTTAGTTCGGGTTGCCGAGCGAGTACGAGCCCCCAAAGCTGTAGACGCAGCAAGGCAGGTCAAGGTCAGGTCAGGTCAGTCGCGCAGGATGAATGGCCAGATCGAAGCCCACACCAAATCTCGGTCAACTTCGGCGCTACCCTTTCCTCCTCCTTTGGTGCGTGTTTGTCTATCTCTCACACACCCACCTCGATGGGCTGGGCTATGCCTCTCTCCTCACCGCCAATGGGCGAAGGTGAAAAAGAAAAGAAAGGAAAATCAGGCAGGAGGGAAAGATAAAGGGTCACCGTTACAATTACTCATGTTTCTTCGTTTACTTTTACGTATCTAGTTTGTCTCGTTGCTGTACCATACGGTTGTCTACCAATATCCTTCTGTAGACCGAGAGAGACACAGCTACAAATGTCGTCAAAATTGGTTAGTCATCATGGACAAGGGAGTTTTTCCTCACTTTGGGAGTAAATATGCAAGAAAAGAAAAAGAGTGGGAGATGTAAGAGAAAAAGAGGTACAGAGTACGAGGCATGGAAAATCCTAAAAGGAGGCCGCGTAGTCTTGCGGTCTTGGCGGTGAAAGGGGTGCAGGGCCAAAAGAATTTGTGTGCTTGGCTCCATCAGCCTGCTTGCTGTGTGGGTGGCCCGACCAACCCCCCGTATGATCTCATCTGCGTCTGTTAGTCGTTCTCATAGATATCAGGGTAATGGCATGAGAGAAAAGTTCCCTTATTTTGAAACATTCTCAACAAGATTGTCCGTCTCCTCGTGTTCAGGCCGCTGAGACCGAGTGCGAAGCTCTCATGAGATGCGTGCCGTTTCCCGTCCGGAAGATGGGCGCAGACGGACGACAAAACTAGAAGTGGGAGAGATGTCTGATTCGGAATCCAACGTTGGCCACGAACCTACTGCACCAACCCTTCCGTAAGACACCAGTGACGCTCGCCTAAGCCTGACCGCCCCGCGGCGAACGCAACAAGAGCAAAAGCTTGTCTCGCCGTCCCGGCGTCCACAGACAGATGTGATAGAGGGGGAGGAGGCCAAGCCCTGCGTAAACCCCCATCACCCGGGCTTGTCCCCATCTCCCCCGGGCGAAGCCCGATGACAAGTCGTCTCCAGGCATTGGCCGCGGGAAAAGAGCCAGGCTGACAAGCTGCTCGCGCGTACGGCGCCTGCCTCGGTGTGTCCATCCCGCTAGAATCGGCACGAGATCCCGCCGTAGATGGCGAGACTCGTGTTCACTGTGATGAGCCTGGGCAGTCGAAAAGATAATCATCCCATGTCTGGCTCCGGCCAAGGACCAACACGTAGGCCATGGGCCCCGGAGGCGGCGCAATCCATACGGACTATCAAGGGGAGCTTACGAGTTTAAGCTTCAACCTCGCCTTTCTCCAACCTTGACGCCGCGTCCTTGTCGATGTTGACAAGCTCCCTCTTCCCGGCACCTTGTCATCCACATTCGACACTCTGACAGCTTGAGTTAAACAAGGCTTGCAACGCCCGGGAACCCCGTGTTGTGCCGGGATCTCGATACATTGGTCTGAACATCGTCATTGCCGTCCGTAGCGAGGAAACAAAATCCGCTTTCCCCCTCCCCCACGATTCCGGTCTCTGTTGCTGCGTCATCTGTCATCTCAAAAAGTTCACGCCGTTGGATACAGACGATAGACGGGTAGAGAGTCAGGTGCCCATGCTGCCGTCTACGCGGTGAAATCCATAAATCGACGATCAGTCTTTCACTATACGGACGAGCGTACTCAGAAAACGGAATCAAATATCCGCTTGGCGTCGCGGCCAGTGTGGGGGTCGTACTCAACCCGTACGTCTGCCTGTACTTAGTACGTAGCGAGTCCGAGGCACCGGCACCGCCGCGTCCTCCCACCGGGATGTATCCGTTCAAAGAAGATGACCAGCTTAGTCACGCTTTGAGAAGACCAGATATCTGAAGAACCAGACGAAGGGGAACCAGGGACATGGGCAGGGAGTCAAGTCTTTTGCCCATGTTGCCATGCTGGCTTGTCCTCGAAACACCATCTTCCCTTGTGAACCGATACCTTAATATTCTCGCCAACGAGCGAAGCGAAGAAAAGACCGCCGGGAGCGGGTATCGACGAGGCTAACACGGATAGAGCAAGGTAGTCGACGACTAGCAGACTGTTGTGTCTCTCTCGCTGTGGTCCAATGTCTGATCTGCAAGGATGGATAGGAAGGGAAGGGTCTAGGGTACGCGCGTCCCGCCTCGGGCTTTCTCTGGAGCACCCCCCTCCCTTCCGTCCTCCTTCGCACACAAACCGACGACAAACGAACCGGCCGGGTCAGACCACGCAAGCCAGCCCCGATAGGCTGGGGCCGAGGACAACGAGATCGACGGCCGCAAGGTTTCGCCGTTTCCTTTTTCCCCCTCGGTAGGTAGAATGGGCAATGTCGCTAGACATGATCCCGTGACTGGGGGCAGACCGAAAGGCTGTGAGACGCCAGCGCGGTTACCGTACCATCCAACACCAAAGCGAGCCCGGAAACTTGGGGGCGGGTACTCCTTTGTGGGCGGTTTGTGACAACATCGTGAAAACAAAGAACGGAAGGAGAAGTTGGGATGAGCGTTCGTCATCTCGATGTTTGAATCGTGACCTCCCGGTTTCACAGATGAGAAGAAGGGGCGAAATGGGGGCCAAGAAGTCAATAGAATACGCAGCCCGGGGCGGAGTCCAATCTGGCTGACATCCTGAGGTTCTGGATAGACGACACGTCTTTATGGACATGAGTCGGCGTCTTGGCACTCGCGACAAGACCGCATCCAGGCGACGGACAGAAATTGACGTCCTTCTCATTTAGAAGTTCGCGTAACTCGGAGTCCGGCTCGTGATTCCTAGGGAAGTGAAAGAGAGCGCAATCTGTACCTGGATCAATCGGGCTATGCCGACCTGGACGGACTAGGTGTCTTTCCATGCAATGCCTGCATCTCCGTAGGGTTGGGGGACCATGGTGGACGGGAGTGAGGTGGTTTTGGGTCGTTCGTCCCATCGTGGGCCACCTTCAGACCGCCCAACACCAACCCTCACTTGTCGTTCCCACCACTCTGCTGTTTCGTTTCCACCATACAGCCCTCGTCACCAACTGCATCCTGCTATTGTTCCTTTCAACACAATTGGAAGTCGAAGATGCCGCCCTCTGCAGACGGGAGGTGGGAGAGGCACTATTGGCCGGTTCGATGCAGGGCCCCTTGGCAAGTCTGCCGACAGCCGACGTGGACTGATGGAATGAGAGGTTTCTGAGCAGCGGGAAGCTTGGGCATTTCTGGCCCCTGGCCAATCAAGCAACACCTTTGCTCTCTAATTCGTGAATAAGGCGAGAATGGAGATTCGACAAGTCGCTCGCTACGCCTTTGTGGCAGTTCGAGACGAGAAGGAGTGCGGTCTGAAGTGGGGTGGCAACGGGTTTGGAACAACACGCAAGCCACCATTGGGAGAACCGACGTGAGACAAGGTGGATGACGCGTCACTGAGCCGCTAAGGCCCACACCAGGGGTGTTGACACATCCAGCCTGCACCCAATTTGGGTCGCCCGCGAAAAGCATCGTGGTCGCCGATCAGGCCTCTGTTCCAGGCTGTGGGGAGTCCTGGAGAAGAGTCCCAGGAACTGTATTGAGATTTCAAATCGCCAGGAACCGGCCTGCAAGAGAGACCCTTGTCGTTCGTGATGGATTCAACATGTCGAGTTGTAAGATTGCCAAGAACTGGTGATGGGTTGACGGCGGCCAGATTGTGTTAGAATGGCGGTTGATAGCGCCAGTGGCTACGGCGCGCGGCCAGGCCCTCTTGAGCCGACTTGGACTCGTGCTCTAGTTTTCGGCCGCTGACTCGTCATCATGGTGCCGGAGGATTATTGCCCTCGTCAGAGACCGTCTGAGAAAAACCAACTGCTCGGTTCATCTCATCAAACCCAATCACTCCGACTGGCGTACAGCCGCGAGCCTGAGGTTGGGAGTGCGCAGACTCAGGCATCAGAGCAGTGTAAGTAAGGGCAGACGCGACGGGCATTTGACTTTGCGAGAACGATTTGACGAGCCCACCGTTGACGCAAGTCCACGTAACGTAACACAAGGCTTGACGTGCGATCAGACCTCGATCGGGTGAGGATCTCTTTGGATTGGAGAGCTTATCACTCATGGTTCAGGGCGACCGCTAGAAGATTTCGGGAAGAAATGGCCCGCAGAAGAAGCTCCAGAGGTGCTTGTCGGTGTGTGTTGTATTCGAACATTATTACTGAGTGCCAGTTTGTCCCATGGATGGGCCGGGGACAGTCTCAAGCTTTGGCGGATGAGGCTACCAAGCTGCCAGCTGGGCCAGGTTTCGCGGACTGTACCTCGTCAGCCGCGACTTTGACGAACTGCAGTCGAATGGCCAAGGGTATCTGGCGATTATCGCAGCGCGCGATGCGGGGATCGGGGAAACGAGTGCAGCTAAAATGGAACTGTTGGATGAGCATGGGCGGACCGGAAGAGACCAGGACCGGGAAGGGGAAAACGAGGCTGAGTAGGAGGCGAAAGAGGCAGGACCTTGAGTCCGGGGGGTTTCGAAGACTGGGAGTACCTGAGTACTTTGACTCGTTTTTGAGTGTGTACCTGACTGAAGTTGAGTGCAGATGGCCGTCAAGCCCCTGCCGCGCCTTTGCCGATGAGAACGGATGGCCAATGGGAGATGGCGCAAGCAAAAGAGAGTGTGAAATAGAGGTGTCGCACTACGTGTAAGCTTTTTTGGTACAATGGGATGTGGTCACGTAAGTTTTGGTGGGAGGGACTGAATTGAGTCGTCGTCGTCGTGTCTCTCCTTGGATGTCCTCTGCTGTGTGGACGCGGTGCCGGAGCTGGCGGCCTAGCGGTTTCCGGAGGACACTAGCCACAGGCGAATGCAGGGCAGCAGAGAGTCCCAAGATTGCGCAGGAGTTGTTAGACCAGGGACAGAGTTTTAGGGGTCCAAAGGCCGACGAGACGCGAAAGAAGCGAGGTGGTGTGGTGGTGGTGGTATTGGAAGAGGTGCAGTCGCAGCGACAGCCACTAAGGGGGCAGAAGGAGCAAAACGTCCCTTATCACGGAATGCTAAGAGAAGCATTTTGGACCGTTTTTGGAGGGGATCTGGAGTGGCTGCTAGTTTGATGAGCGGTTGGTCTCACACGGCGATCCTCGTGGGCGCTTGCGCTTGCGATGTCGTGCTGGCCACAAGCATCCGTTCTAGCGATAGGTACCGTCGCCGTACGCATAGCTGCTGACACTCGACGATCTCGAGAGGCCGTGTGGTCCGTGAGGGTGCGAAAGAGGCACAAGAGGCACAGCGGGAAAGCCAGCTGTGGCTTGATCTGATGGGGCTCGTTGGCGGAGCGGACAAAGGTGCCGTGGGCACCGCGGTTGGGATGGTTGTGGTTGCGTATTTGCGCAGATTGCGGACGGGAATGCTGGGATAAACGGCAATGATGTGCAGCGGCGAAAAGGAGCCTGAGCCTCAGGAGGGAGGCTAGGGCGGAAATGGAAGAAACCCATCGTCTGTCTGCCTCTGGTACCGTACGTACTGCGTAGAGAGAAATTGTTAGTGTCAGGTGTCTGTCGCTGCTGCTGCTGTTTCTGTTTCTGCCTCGCTTGATGTTGCCACAAATGCAAAAGATGGGAAAGGGCAGCTGCTACGAAACAAAGACAGCCAGAGCAGGAGCAGGAGCAGCAATGCCAAGAGGTGCGGCAGCAGCAACATCAACAGCAGCAGGAAGGAGCTGCTGCTGCTGCTGCATGACAACTGCTGCACTGCAAAACGGACAGTGGCAGCCGGTGCTGTCGTAATCGGTCACGGCCGGCAGGCGCCTGGTGCCGGAGCTGGGCTCATCCGTAGGCCTCTTCCCTCCCCAAGGTTCTCGACCCAGTTACAGAATGGATGGGAAGCTCCCCCAGCACACCCAGCACGCCCAGCACCCAGCACACCAGCACCGTCTCCCGCGCTCAGTTCGTACGGGACGATACTATGTTGGGATGTGCCTTAGACCAGGGAGGCAGCGGGAGGGAGGACAGGTGAGGGCTGAGGTGAGGCGCCAGGGCCAGCTGAGCCACAGATCTGGGACGGATGGAGCCAATCCAAAAGGCTAAAACCGCTGCAGGTGGCCTGGGCTGCCGCTGGCTGCCGCTGGAAATAGACGAAATAGGCCTCAGCCACGCCTCGTCATCGCCCTTATTTTCCATACACACGGCGACTCCAGCGGGAAAAGTGTGTGAAGGGAGGAGGGGGGGGATCTTGCTCTGGCCAGTGACAGCGCCTTTAATTAGGTACATGGTCGAGGTACCGGTACATGCTGCTGCTGCTGCTCCCATATGGCGTGGGTGCACTGAACACAGAGTAGGTACAGTGTTGAAGATGTTTGGTGGTGCTGGTGTTGTTGGTGATGGTGCTTGTTTGCTGGTGTTGGTGATGTTTGTTGCTGGCACTGCTGCTGCTCATCATGAGAATGCGTCCTCATCAAACTGCCCACAACCCGTTCCTGGAACAGAACAGCTGATCATCCATCACGACAAAGACACGATGCCAAGACAGGACTCGATATTGCCATCGTCGTCGCAATTCTCAGCCTCGTTCGGTCTCGCAAGTGATTCGTCTTGTATGGGGAAGACAGAGTCGCAATCTCATTTCGATTCAGCATCCGTACGTACATGCTGCCTGCGTCTTGCGTCTGCGTTGCGCGGATCTCCTCCGGCGGCGGCGAGTCGGCGACAATACAATCAGCTCAGCAGGAGGAGCACTGGAGTCTGGAGCAGAAACACCTCAGAGTGTATCCGTAAGGTAGTGTCCGTCCCGGCCTCGTCACCGGGAGGATTGCGTTGCCGTTGCCTGGGCTCTGCCAAGATTGCGTTGCTCCTGTGGGCGGCTGCGCAAGAAAAAAAGACTGCCTCATTACCTGGGGCCCCTCCAAACGTCTCTTCTCGGCCTGGCGCGTCTGGTAAGTGGGAGGCGACGGGATTTATCGATAAGAGTATTCGTCACTTGGCGCATCCGTAAGCCGTCCGTCGGTTGGTTTGCTCGGGATGGGATGGGATGGGATGGAATACATGCCTGCGAACTGAACTTCGTATGTACTACGCAGTACACTCTGATGCCCGGCATCACCAGCCAGCCCTGCGAGAAGTGGACTGCGGGCTGTGGTGGACGGTGGATTTTCGACGTGGGTTGCTCTTCGTGACCCTGTCCAATTTGGCTGTCTTCTGTCTGGATATTCACCACCTCGGGAGGCAGATCGTGGGCTTTCTTTCTGCTGCGTGTGTCTGACTCTGTGTCGTTGCCCGCTGTCCACCACATCTCGAGTTGGCAGGCAGTCGTCTCCTCAGTCAGAATGGAAGGCGCTGCTCCTTCCCTACGGGCACCTCCAAAAGTTGCAGGGAAGGCACGGGTGCTGGGGGCAAGTACCTGTACGCAGATACCTCCTTCCCCGGCACGCTTGCCTCTACTTGGGGGGGCACTCGGGTCGTGGTACGTGCCGGGGCGGATTGAGCGGACCCCACTCACCATCAGTCTGGCGTCTGTCATTGGCCGGTGCCACACAGCTTACGCGTAAACCGCCCATGAGGAGCCAGCCAGAGAGCAGCGTGCGTATGCGACCTTACGCTTCGCACTCCTCCCGCTGGCCCTCCCACCCCCCTCCCCCCCGTCCACCATCTCTCCCGTCGAGGCTTTCAGTGTCGTCGTCGTCCTTCCCCCATGTCCACGACTCCGTCCGCCCCCCCCTCTCGCTCACTTTTGCTCGCACTTACGCATACGCAGCACGCAGCGCAGTCACGCTGTGGCAGTACCAATTAGAGTCTCCCGTCAACTGCTGCGTACGCTCTTTACTCAGTCCCCCCTGGGCCCTGGCCCGTTATCCACTCTCACTCCCCCCAATTGCACCCTCCTCTCCGCCCGCTACCAACCCTTTCAACACCCCCATCCCCCCATCTCATCCCTTCCTCTCAACACCGCACTTCGTCGCCCTACGAAAACCCGATTTCGATTTCTACCGAACGACAAGCACCCGATCCTGTTCTTCGAGATCACCTCTCGCGAGACCGGCCACGATCGCTTCGACTTCGACTTCGACTCCGGTGCCCGCCAGCCAGACAAAAGACGGCCATCGCCTCTCCGACCGACCGATCAAAAGTCGCCAATTTCTGGGCTAGGACTACTCTCGAACGCTGCCGAGCCGGGACGCAACGAACTAGCACCACACTCGGACTCAAGAAGGAGGGAAACCAAACACCACAGCAAAAGGGAACAGTTCCAGCTTGACAGTGGCACTCGACTCCGACGACGTTACGAATCATTCACACGACAACCTGCGCTGACGACGACGACCGTGGTCTCTTCGCCGGCGATTCCCACCACATCCACTCTTTTAGCCAACTCACTCGCCGCCCTGATCTGACACCACCCAATTCGTCTTTGACGACCTTTTGGGAGAGTTCTGTCGAAGACTCTCCTCCATCCAACCCTCCCTTCGACACTCTCGACATTGACTTTTACCTACCACCGACAACAACTTCAAAATGGCTGGAAACGGATACCCGCCTGGCCCGCCCAACGGCAACGGCGAGGACTACGGCGAGGAGTGGGCTCGGGATTTGAGGGTAAAGTTCGAGTCTCTCCTCCGCGACAAGCGAATGAACGACTTCCGCTCTTCTCGTCAAGGCACTCCCCAGCCTAGAGAATCTGCGAGCAGCGCCAACCTCCGAGGTCTCGCTTCTCCCGGCAGACCCTCAACTTCCCACAGCAACACTGGATCCATGACACCAACACCACCTGCTTACTCTTCCATCCGCCATCTCCCTATCGTCCCTACTCCTCCCGCCGCTGGCGACCGCGACTCCCAAAAATTCCGCAACCTCCTCATCAGCCTGTCTCTGACCCCTACCAAGTACGAGAACCCCGGTTTGTTGGATGAGGCCCTGCAGTGCATACCGCTCGATCGGATTTACGGTGAAGCCGAGGAGGAGTGCCAAGTAATGCAGGCCGAGGCCATGAGTATGGGTGATGGACGTAAGGCTACCTGGGGTTACCAAGACTGCGTTATCCGGGCACTGCTGAGGTAAGTTGATTCACACGGATCCATCCGTTCTGTTCTAATTCCCCGCCAGATGGTTCAAGCGATCATTCTTCACATGGGTCAACAACCCCCCTTGCCCCGTCTGCATGTCGCCTACTATCGCCCAAGGCATGACTGCGCCGACCCCCGATGAGAGTGCCTGCGGCGCACTCCGAGTCGAACTCTACCGCTGCTCTGCTGGCGAATGCGGTGCTTACGAACGCTTCCCGAGGTACGGTGATGTGTGGAGGTTACTGCAGACCCGCCGCGGCCGTGTCGGCGAGTGGGCCAACTGCTTTAGCATGCTCTGCCGTGCCGTCGGAGGCAGAGTCCGCTGGGTATGGAACGCCGAGGATCACGTCTGGACCGAGGTCTACTCGGAGCACCAGAAGCGATGGGTTCACGTCGACGCCTGCGAGGAAGCCTGGGACAACCCGAGACTCTACACCGACGGATGGGGCAAGAAGATGTCCTACTGCATCGCCTTTTCAATCGACGGTGCCACCGATGTTACCAGACGCTACGTCCGCAAGACCGAACACGCCTCTGAGAGGAACAGGTGCCCCGAGGAGGTCCTTCTTTACATCCTGCAAGAGATCAGGAATATCCGCCGCCAGAACATGGGCAAGGATGAGCGATTCAGACTCGAGAAGGAGGACAGCAGGGAAGATCGCGAGCTCCGTGGATACGTCATCAAGTCCATCGCCCAGGCCGTTACCGACCTCGTTCCTGGCATGCCCAGCCCTTCAACCAATGTCCCTGTCGCGCAGCCTCAGCAGAGGCGCGAGGACACCAAGCTTCCCGCTGAGCAACCTGGTCGCCAGACGACTGGATCCGCCGAGTACCTCGCGGCCCAAGCCCGCGCGAGGAATAACCAGTTCCCCCCGCACAACCCGAACCAACACCACTGAAGTGTCAGCTCTACTGTCTGCGAGGACTACCTGATCTACTGGCGGCTGAACCCGACCAACGTCTCGCCGACCTGAGGCCAATTCTTCTGTGACCTGGCAATATCCGCTACTTTTTTCAAGATACCCAGCGGGTGCCTGGTCCTTCACCTCTCGGCCTCATGGTCGTCCGCCGTTCACCCACGATGGTGAGCGGCGCGTTGCACGACTGTGCATTACCAACAATCAGGACAATGATAATATTTTCTATGTCTAATCTACCTAAATTCGATACATCGAAAAAAACGCATTATAGACCGGCGCTCCGTGCCTACGTAACAAACCACAACGCCTCCGTCGAACCTCCACTGTCACTTTCAACCTATCGATACCCCCTGGGTCTCTCGGGTTCGGAGTACGGACTGTATCTACTACCAAATCATTTACTTGTTTCACTTCTTTTTTTCTTTGTTCAAAAATCCACTTGGATATTCGCTGGAAGCTGGCGGCACAAGGCGCAACCATGGGAAAGGCAGGGCTTGCCTGGTCATTTTATATACAACCAACCCCGCGCGTCACGGGGTCAGAGGGAAGGCGAGAGAGCCGGCGATCGGGGGTTGGAGCCGCGGACAGTACTGGCTCGCCCAAACAACGACGCCGAGCTCCTCCTAGGGGGGCGTTCAGGGAGCTACATGTGTGCTGGCTTGTCTTGCATCTTCGAATCTTTTGCATGAGCGACGATGGGCACCAGATGGACTTTGTATCTGGCCGAATGGAGTTGATGAGTCGAAGAAGTTTAAAAAAGATTCTTTGTATTCTCCGCCTGCTCCATTGAGACGGGCGAGAAGATGGGAGGCTTCGGATCGCGAGCTTGAACAAGCCATATCCGCAGGATTAGAAGCAAAATCAAAAATCAACTTAACGTTATCAACTGTTACATCATTGCACTGCACTATCTGGTGATGATTGAGTCAATCTGTCGGTGAGCAAACCGCTTGACGTGCTGACGATCTCCGCTCCAGCTGTGCTGCGTCGGGGAGGGGGCGAGTGTGGATTCCATGTTTCGTTAGTCAGCGCGCAAAACGAGCCAAGACGGGTTTGAAGCCCAGAAGGCGACGGATAGGCGCCCCGATTAATTCTTGTTTTCATCCAATGTTTGGGGCTCCGTGGACCGTGGCCGCCTTTGCCCGTTTATTCTTGGGATTAGGATGTCTTGGCCGGCTGCTGCTGTTGGCTCGCTTGGCGCGGGTGGCCCCCCCCCCCCCCCCCATCCCCTGGTTTAGGGATCTTCTTGGTTTCTCAAATAGCTGCGACGGTTTTGGTGGTCTTTTTTTTGCTGCGTGCCGTGCAGGAGGTGAGGAACGGCCGGGCTTGGCCGGGTGGAGGGGAGGGGGTCTTGGCTGTGACGGCCCTACGTGTTACGATGGGAGATGTGCGGCAAGGTAATGAATGGTGCACAACGTTGGTAGACAGGAGGCTAGGTGGTTAGGTCTTGGCCTTTGAGATTGGGGGCAGGTTGATTGATGGGATTGCGCAAGCTCGGTGAGCATCATTTCATGTCGCGAGCAGGTGGCCTTGGCGGAGGCACGTGTTGTGGGAGGGATGGAGGGAGGTTTTCGATGGGCGCAGGGCTAGGAGATGAAAGGCGGGAATTGGGGGTGAGGGCGATGTTTCTTCGGTCAGGATGTAGTCAGCAGGGCGGGCAAGGAAGGGGGGAGGACAGCCGCCGCCGCCGTTCGCCGGCGGAGGTACGAAGGCCAGTAAGGCAGAGGGAACAGCCCAAAATGCGACAAAGATTGATGGAAAGTCGGCGCCGGATGGCGGCTTGGCAATCCGGCAGTGCAGAAGCTGCATATGCACATTGTATGCTGCCATGTAAGAGAGAGTGTGTGTGTGGGGTATCGAGGGGAGGTTGTGTGTCTGAGGTTGTGGTTCGGATAGATTTCACAGGAGGTTAGGTGTTCGTTCCTGTTGCTTTAACTATCCATCACCTTGAGAAGGTTTGGTTTAAAGTGTTGAACTAGTGGTGGGTGGCTTTATTGGCATGATCTGGGAGATGAACAGCCAAGCGTGAAGCTTGCGGTGGAAGCCACGGTGGTGGTTTACGGCCAGCGGCAATTTTGCACGGCAGGGAAAGCGGAAAGGAACGCAGGCGCCGATGGTATTGAATTCCCGCGCGGATATCTCGATCTGCGTCACGTGTTATACTCGGATCCGAAACATATTACAGAGAAGAGCCGCCCCAGTCGGGATAATTCTGGACCTCGGGTTCGCAAACTTGTCCGAAGGGACAAAAAAAAATACAAAATGCCACGCGGTTTCTGTGTCGATCATATGTTATCTACCCTTTCCTCGATATTAAAAGAGAAAAAAAAGGAAAGCGAGCCAGCCCACTGACCAGACGGGAATACTCGATGGGGAAAGGGAGGATGACGAGGAACTGGGTCGGAATGTGGGGGATACTGGAGCTGGGGGACCTTTTTTCTTCCCTCGGGGTGGAGCTTTGCAGCGTGGTTTGCCGAACGGGAGATGCGCTAGCTGGAGCTGGGTTTCCAATGTGGCTTGTGTGCTTGTCTATCCGTGGCGTTTCTGGCAAACCAAAACCCAAGAGTGTGGTACAGTAAAATGAAGGGGCCGGGGTGGTGGTCGTGATGTGGGTTCATACGCGCGCCCGCGCCCGCGCGTGTTCTCTGTCTCTCTCGGTGACGGCCTGGATAGGTACGAATAGGCAGACGTGTTGTGCCGGGATGGATAGTGAGAAATGGGGTTGGTCCGATGTTAGATCGTTCGGTTGATGGTGCCATCAGGTACCCGAGACCAAAAAGCTACACTAGACTAAGAAAAAAGTGTGTAAGGTTGTATTCTCCTTGCCCCCGTCACGCCTATCCCAAATACGAAGCCTGGCCCGGGGGCGGGGAAATGAGGATGTGCTGGATGTGGTTACGTGGTTGGTGGCGTTAACGCAGAGAGGGCGTAAGACGGGCACACATTTGAAGCTTGTCGGGTTAAGCTTTCTATGGGGCTTTTGCGAAGTTGTTCCTGGATGTCTGGCGTTTTGGCGTTTCTCGGCTGGGGGTTAGGGTTGATGAGGATGGGCAGAAGAAAGGGGTGGGCTGTGGATGTCAGAGTTTCTCTGTCTCTTGGGGGACCTCCACAGGTGGGCTCTGATCGTACGAATAGAGAGGATGGTGTTCGTCATCTTTGTGTGGGTATTTTCAGCGAGGTTTTGGCCTTGGTGTTGTGTTGGTTGAAGGATGTGTTTGTCTCTTGTAGCTGAGATATTTTCCTCAGATCGTGTGATACGAGCAGCGTTACACATGGAATGTACGCGTACCATGTATTCGGTGTTCTAGATTGACTTAATCAATGGTCATTTAGTATTAGAAGGCTTTAGCATCTTGTTTTGCCGTCACAACGTTTTCATATGCAATTATAATAGCAATTAATTGGCATTGTTAAAAATCCTTGTTGGGATTTGCTTTCTCTTCTCCATCTCTTCTCTTTCCAAGTCACTGTGTCAGATCATGATGATGACTGCAGCACGTTTTATTCACAAATACTTTCGGAACCGATCTTGTAATTGATGAGCTGCTCTCAGTCCCATGGCCTTGCATGGTCCACCGTAAGGTGCGGTTAGGACGTTGGTAACGCAAAGTGACACTTGATCACAGTGCGATCTCACATATGTTAGCATCAGGTAGTACGTCAGTACCATTATCTCAGCTCTGCGACCAGATCAGTCACGATCGTGACACAGTTCAAAAAGGCAGGTATTTCTGACGGACTGCCTGCCGAACATCCCACACGTCAAGTACAGACCATAGTGTGTTCCTTAATCCTGTCACAAAGCTGCCGCCGTCAAAAAGTCGCAGATGATCCAATTAGAGAATATGAAAGAGAAGCACAATGTAGCCTGGTGCTTGGTCCCGATTTTTATATCACTGCCATCGGCCTTGCACGGCCGTAGATGTCCGCCGGGCCGCTGACAGATGTGGGTCCCGCGGACTTACACGGCCGGGCCGGGGAGATAGGAATCGGCCCCGGTCACCGTTCACCCAGATGAACCAATGGTATCTCACTCAATGGTCAAGCAAGTCTGGGCATCACCGCCGACCTCACGTCTGTAGCTCCATTCTCAGCACAGCCGAGTCTCTCGTAGTTAGCTCGGGTCGGTGTCGGTCCCCGACAGCTTGAATCATGGGACGATCCGGTGGTCTCAGCGACGCAGATCACTCAATGCAATGAGATGGCGAAAAAAGCATGTGCAGAGGGAAAGAGACAGGCAGAGTTGCCGTTAGACTCTGCCGAATCCCGTCATCCATAATCCAAAATTTGGTGGGAGCCGTCATACGCGGGCAAGAAAATCGCAAGTCCTGACCGATGTAGCTTGGCACCATGTTTTCTTCGCGGGGCTAGCCGCCGCCGGCGGGGAGTGTGGGGTCCCGGCATGTCCACCACAGCATGCAACGCGGGGAGTACCCGCGGCGGTGCCTTCGCCCAGAAAAATGCCCGTACCCCGGACTGTGAGAACAACGACTCAAACGGGCGGCGAATACTTTAAAAAGCTAGACTTTCTCTCCTCCACGGAATCAAACCTAAAAAACCACCTCCCTCGAGACGAAGGCAAAGGCAAAGAAACCGACCACCCCCCGGATGTTGATAAGGAGCTTTGGACACCTTCCAGTCTTTCCCACCCACACCTCGTCGCTTTTCCGCTCTCGCTCTCGTTACGTTGCGTTGCGATAGCTGCCAATTTCGTATCGCTGCAGCACCGATTTCCGCTCACATCAGAAGAAAAAAAAAAAACATGGCCGGCCACTTCCGTGCTTCATTGGCGGCTGCCACGGCCCCACCCTCCAAATCCTTCCCCGACCGGCCCCAGTTCTCGGGCTTCATGAAGCCGTGCCGGTTCGAGGGCGAGGTCCGCAACCTCGAGATTGCCGGGACTGTGCCAACCGAGCTGGACGGCACTTTCTACCGCGTCATGCCGGATCCGCAATTTCCCCCCTTCATTGATAATGATCCTGTAAGCTTGATTGAACGATGAAAAAATGCTTTCAATTTTAACTGGATGGTATTGTTGCTAACCTGTGATTTTATTTTGTGTAGTGGTTTAATGGCGACGGAAATGTGTCAGCTTTCAGCTTCCACAACGGCAACGTTGATTTCCAGCAAAAATACGTCAGGACGGAGAAATTCGTTCGAGAACGAGAAGCAAATCGAGCGCTGGCAGGTAATTATCAACTCCTCGCCTGATTGCATTTTCACTAATATAGCCTGAATATCACTGACACCAACTGCTTATAGGAAAATACCGCAACAAATACACCGACGCAGTAGAGTTCAAAGTCCGCACAACGGCCAATACCAACATCTACTACTTCAACAAATCTCTCCTCGCCATCAAAGAGGACGCCGCACCCTATCTCATGGACCCCGTCACCCTCGAGACCAAAGGCCCGTGCGACTTTGACGGCCAGCTGCCCAGCCTGACCTTCACTGCACACCCCAAGCTGGACCCTGTCACGGGCGAGCTCGTGTGCTTTGGGTATGAGGCCAAGGGTGACGGAACGCCCGATGTGTGTTACTTCAGTATTGACGCAGATGGGAAGTTCAACCAGACTGTGTGGCTGATAGCGCCGGTGGTTGGGATGATTCATGACTTTGCGGTGACGGATAACTGGGTATGTCGAAATTAATTGGGTCCTCACGACTTTGCTAATGATGTTCGCAGGTCCTATTTCCTATGATACCTCAGATATGCGACATCGAGAGACTAAAAGCCGGAGGAGAGCACTGGCAATGGGACTCGAACGTCCCCATCTACATCGGCGTCCTGCCCCGCCGCGGAGCCAAAGGCAGCGATGTCAAGGTAAACACGCATCACTCCTATACCGCCATTTAACGAACCGACTTACAACTATCCAGTGGTTCCGCGCACCAAACGCCTTCCCAGGCCACACCACAAACGCCTACGAAACCCCCGCCGGCAAAATCGTCTTCGACCTCCCGCTCACCGACAAGAACGTCTTCTTCTGGTGGCCCGACGCCGAGGGCAACGCGCCGAACCCGCACGACATCCACGCCGAGTACGTGCGCTTCGAGTTCGACCCCACGGCCACGGAGCACTCGCTCGACCTGCCGAAGCCGACGGTGATCCTCAAGCACGACATGGAGTTTCCGCGCATCGACGACCGCTTCGCGACCAAGGCGCACCGGCACAGCTGGTTCGACATGATGGACCCGTCGCTGGGGACCGACTTTGCGGCCATCATGCCCGTGCTGGGCGGCGGACACCCGCTGTACAACGCGCTGGGCCACTTGGACCACGAGACGGGGAAGCTGGACGTGTACTACCCTGGATCCACGCACATGGTTCAGGAGCCGGTGTTTGTGCCGAGAGGGGAGGATGCGGCTGAGGGAGACGGGTTTCTGGTGGTGCTGGTCAATAATTACAAGACCATGTCTAGTGAGTTGCACGTTATTGATACGCGGAAGTTCACGGAGGCGGCGGCAGTGGTTAAAGTGCCTATGAGGCTGAGAGCGGGGCTGCATGGGAACTGGGTTGATGCGAAGGAGTTGAGGTAAAGACTGTCTAGGTCTAAATGATGGTTGTTCGAGATGATGACTGTGTTAAAATGCATGTGAACTCGGCGACGGCAGCGTTAATCATACCCACGTGTCGTTCTGCGGATTCTATCGTCATGGAGAAGGTTTCCATCCCATCGTACATCATTAGATATTGATAGTAGATCCAATAGGCCCGAAGCGGATATTGGACCACGCGATCTTGCTACACCGGGATTAGTCAGGTCCTCCAGTAGGTACGAACGATTCTTACGCTTTGGACCAACCCCACTGCACGTCCAAGTCATTCGGGTCATTCTCCTGCCACGGACAAGGACCCCGAGTAACGCCAGGATAATTGCCTGTGTTGACGGGGTAGGTGGAATCGAGCCAAAGGTTCCAAGCATAGTACTGGGCGATGCCACATCAGTTGAGTTTCTCAAATCTTAGAAAGACAGAAGAAGGCTTCGTACATCATCCTGGATGGACAGCGCCATCACCATAGGCCGGCGTAGGATGTCGTTCTGGCGGGCCACGCCTCCGAGAGCCTCAAAGATATCCGGTTCACTAAACTCCACTGTCTTGATCCGGCAATAGTCCTTACTCAATCCATTGACATCAGGAAATTTCGGCAGAGCCGGGGATGGAGCATCGATTCTCTTGCCGTCCTGGATGAAGAACTTGGTGATCTTGTCCTCTGCGAACCGAGTGACGACTCTGAAGAAACATCAGCTTAGACATACTTCTCAGTCAGAAAAGGGCACTAAGTATTCATACGTGAACTTCTTCGATGTATCCACATCCCCTCCAATGCCGTAAAAGTCCGTGACACCAAGCCTGTATGGGTTATAGTCGCAGCCATCACTGTCGCACTGCCGCAGGCGGTCCTCGCCACAAGCTCCGTTTTCGCAAATGGCATAGGAGTTTATGCGGCTGCATATCTTGGACGACGTCTGGAAAGCTCTGGAGTTGGAGTTCCTACGACGATGAGCCATGCCATACCACGAATCAAGGCCTCTTACCAGACATCAAACTCGGGACAGCATGCGCCGCGGTTGCCCTCGCCTCGAAGGGCATCCCAAGCGGACGGACGCCAACCGTCGAAGTTGGCCTGGGGACACGTCAATGTTACCCATGATTTTCACTCCCGAAGACCAGGATGACTCACCTCGCCACCGACAAACCTCAACGATCTCGTACACGACGCATCACAATACCCCGTCCCATACCTCGCTCCCGCCTCATTCCCCTCATACCTCGCCAATCCACCATCAGCTTCCATGGCCAAAAACGTCAACGCCCCATTCAATCCGCATGGCACCGTTCCCAAGTCAACATCAAAAGCAAGCTCGTTCCCAAGCAACGAGAACGTCTGATACTTATCCCCGCCCTCCTCCATAAGGAACACCCTAGAGTTTCGACTCTTGCTGAAATCGATTGGCGTCTCGTACTGCTGGGAGAGGGAGTCGCCGTTGGTGGCGATGCCGTAGCCGGGGTAGTAGGCACCGTCAACGGCGCAGCGCTCGGTGCATGATTGCGTCGAGTTGCAGTAGTCCGTCTGCCACTCCTGGCGCTCGAAGCAGCTGTGCCAGTCGTCGACGACGTGGATCCAGCGGTATTCTGCGTCGATGGTGATTTCGCCTTGGACTGTGTCGCAGGCGGAGCTGGTACATTGCTTCCAGGAGAGCTTGGGATGGATCTCTTGCTGGAGGTCACCCACCTTTTGCGCCTCGGCGAGAAGCGCCAGGGATGCGAGGAAGAGTACTCGGCGCATGATTCAAGTGTGGGTAATTTGTTTGCCAGAAACGGTCATGCTGGGATCTTTTGAGACTACAATCCAGTTGCAATTGTCAGGGCATTTATATCAACTTGGCCTGGAACTCGGGGGAGCATGCTTCTCCTGCGCGACTTCTGTCAGTAGCATGCTCCACGGACGGAAACTCCAAAGGTCCGCACGCATAGACAGAGAATTTTTGATGTTGTCAATATTGATCGGGCGCAGGTATTGATCATGTGCATTAGCTGATGACCAAGAGATGGCTTCCACGGAGGGAGTTCCTCCTTCTGGATGCTTTTATAGTTGCTCTGCACCTAAATAGTAAACACCAGGCTGCAGATCTGATGGCTGCTGACGTGGGAGTCGGCTCAGTCCGAGAATGCACATGCCAGCCTGCTTATGCGTTCATCTGCTCACCACATGCAATCTTGACAAGAGGCCGTTTACCTTGGCAGAGGCCATGTTCGTCACATTTCAGAAAGCCTAGTCGATTGACAGATTCCTCTAGAAAACGTGCTTCGTCACGACCAACGAAAAGCTAGCTTAATTTGTCGGATAGGGGCTTGCTGAACAGTTTTGTCGCATGTCTCTACATTTTCTCTTTCAACTCGACTTCCAGAGACCTTATAAGTTAGGTTGACTCCTTGATATGAACCGTGAAGACGGACACCACAGCTGCCTAGCGAATTGTTCAAATCAATGATATTTTGAGAAGTTTGATGTAAATTTGAACATGTGCACACACGTCCATGTACAATTTTTCAGAATCTCAGCTCCTTCTTTGACTCTTCTACATGCCACACAGCGATCAGTCTCCAGGGTCTTAGCCACTCGACTTCATCCCTCCGGAGGGGTTTGAAATGCAGTGAAACAGAAAGGAAAGTCACATGCCTGCGTGCGACCCCACTCGATTGGCTAGGACGACCCGTTGAACTTTTGCTCACTCGACTCCACTCCCTTGAAATGGGCTAAAATCGCAGTAAAATATCAATGGTACAGAACGACATCCAGTCGCTTACCGTGGTATAGCAGCCTTCTTTTAATTTCATCCCTGAGTCGATTCTGGTTTCCTCGTACGCCCGATGATCTTGATGGATGGGTGTCCTGACTATGTAGCTACCCTAGAGCTGTGGGAAAGTAATAGTCCCGAAACATTCGTCGTTCAACCAATCCATCACTTCTGCCTTAATCACGAGTCTTTTCAGTGATGACGTGATATCATGTCATTTTCTCTCGGTTAGCCACTGGTTGAGGCAGAAACCACCCCACAGAGTGCGGTCTCTCACACAACTCGCTCTGCCAGCTTATAAACATCTTTTTTTGCCCTCACAAAGCTGATCACCTCAACAACATCGCGAGTCCTCTGCACTGAGACCAGCGCTTCACAATTCCTCTTCATCATTCCCAGCCCACATGTCGGTGATGATGACGTTTGTGTGGCCGTTATCCATCGGGATCGGTCTCATGGAGAGAGTAAACACCGTGCTATAGACAAAAAAGCAACACGTCAGTCAACTCGCATCGAGGCCGGTGAGGTTGCTTGCGTCCTGTCTCCAAAGGCAGAAACAAGCGGTAAAGCGAAAAGAATCAACGGGAAACCACTTACTCAATCGCGGATGTCGCCGTCGATGTCTTGGAAGCGGTGATGCCTGAGCCGGACCCAGCCCGGGTGCTTCCCGGGTTCGAGATGCAGACCACCTTGCCGGCGTAGCGTCTCACATTCTGGCATGATCTCCCCAGGTCCGCGTTCCAGGACACGATCTGAGCCCACGTGGCCTTGGCAACGTTGGCGATGGTGGTGCAGGTGTCGCCGCTCTTCACGACGTACGGGTCGCACGTGAGCGCCGAGGGGATGCACAGCGCGGTGCCGGCGGCCGTGGGGAAGTTGTAGCATCCGGCTAGGAGATTGTTCGCCATCAGGAGCTGGGCGGTGTTGATGCGCTGCTTCTGCGCGACGGACTGGCACGTGTCTCCGTCCTGGAGAATGTACGTCTTGCCGGCACACACAGGCGTCGCTGTCGAGGTTGCGATGGGAGCCGTGCCGACTTTGACCCAGGGAGGGCTCGCGGCCGGGGGCGGGGTGACGGCTACGGTCGTCTTGCAGGACGACGCGATCGAGCTGAGGGCGCTGGAGATGTCGGCGTTGGACGCGAGGGGCATCTCGACCTGGGTCTTGACAACGGACAGGGCGCAATCGTTGCACATCAGACTCGGGTCACCCGCGGCTGTCGGCTGTTGGTTCTCGGGGTCGATGCCGGCCAGATTGCCCAGGAGCAGGTTGCAGTTTTCACCGGCACTGTTTTGTTTGTCAGCGTCAGTCGCAGATTCGACGAGCAGAGCCATGGGTGATGGTGGGTGACGTACGGATTGGACGTGCAGAGTATGTTGAACCTCTCCCACACCAGCTGGGCGGTATAGCCGGCGTGGTAGCTGAGGCCATTGGGGCCAGAGTAACGGCTTGTCTCGCAGGCGGACTTCACCTGTTCTATATACCCATTGAGAGACGCCCTGCAGTCGGACGTGCAGAGCAAGTCAATGGTACTCTTGCTGTAGAAGTTGTTGGTTTCAGTCGCCCAGTTCAGAGAGGCGTCGCAGTTGAGCGCTTGGTTGAGAACCCTGATGCAAGTATCGGTGAGACCCTCCGTGCCTTGGGGAATAGCCGGGATGCGGACATCAGCCAGGACCTGGCGGAAGCCAACAACCGCCCAGACAGCCGTTGAAAGGGAGACTCGAATGGCCTTCATCTTTTCTTTTCTGTCATCTATTGCGAGAAACTGATTTTCGTTCTGATGCTTGGAGGTTGAAGAACGCGAGTGAAGAAAGACACAGGTGGATCAAGGTGAGTTGAAGAATCCCACTCTCCGTAGGCAGCAAGCCCCGCCTTTGTCATTTGCGCATCTGAGCGTGTTTGACGACGAATACGATGTCAGGCCACAGTCTCTTCCGCATGCAGGGGGGCCTTGGGAATGAAAGTGTGATATTGTTGGCGCTAAGCTGGTGAGAGTGTAAGTAGACATGGAAGACGATGGGGTCAGTTCAAGGGACTGTTGGCGCTAACCTTTTGATAGTGGGACTGTCATTGACTCTCGCTGTAGTCGGACAGGGGTGGGTTGATTTTGGTCCCGTCAATGAACATGTTCCAAGACGTTGGCATCGTAACGTTCAAAATGCTTGGTTCAACCACCGTCAACCACCTCCAGCTTCACCTCGACTTTAAGCATTATCAGTTTTCTTGCTCATACTCTCCGCCGCTCCGTTGACTTGCTCTGCAGAGTAAACCTGCAGTTGCCATTTAGAACAGTCCAGACTTGGATCCCAGAAGTACCCGCTTCATAAGTTCGCGACCCCTGCAACATGGTCTCAAAATTCGACGTTCGGCTGCGGGGCCGGGAGATGGATGCTGGAAATGGTAAGCGGCTCAGGTATGGCAAAAGAGCGCGGCCAGTCGATTCTCCATAACACAACAGAAACTGCTTGGTTCCCACAGTCGTCTCGCGCTCCAGGCGGACAAAAATGACCGAGTCCTGGGGACAAATGACCCTTTCCCGAAAACGTGCAGGGGTTTCTTCACTCTTTACGAGTCAGACACCATTGCTTGTCGATTCTCTGGGTGTCCCGGAACGATGTCTGGCTGCTTGGAATCTATTGCATTAGTGCTTTGCAAGACCGTTGAAGGTTGATCCTGGTGCCCAAACACCTCAACTTAGTTGGAATATAACCTTGTTCCAACAACCTTGATGTTTTGTGATATCCACCTAAGATGCAGGCGAGATGTTCCGGTCTTAATGGTCATTTGCATATACTCAAGCAGACTTGCTTGTGCAACGTAGCAATGAGCGATATATCATGAGCTGACTTCAGTCCCTCTCCCTCATTCTCACTCTCCTTCCTTTCCCTTCATTCTCTCTGTAATTTCCTGGCTCTATTACCTATTACCTTGTTCAGTCCTTCGTTCCCACCCGTGCTGACACTGATTGTGCGGAAATGTCACTCATTTGATTTTCATTATCATCATATAACTTACACTCATTATCTGGGCTACCCCAGGCACAAGCACATGATGCTTTTCCTTACAACACTCATCCTGGCGGCGCTTCTTGCTGTCAGGGGCGTTGAGAGCAAGTCAGTCTTTGCCCATTTCATGGTTGGCAACACAGAAACGTTTGACATTACCAAGTGGCAAGACAACATCGCTCTCGCGCAGCAAGCGCACATGGACGCCTTCGCTCTGAACATTGCGCACGGCTGGAAGTATAACGACGAGCAGATCGCCAACGCCTTCGCTGCCGCAAGCGCCAAGGGCTTCCAACTCTTTTTTTCCTTCGACTATGCCGGTGGCGACGTCCCTTGGCCGATGGCCGAGGTCAAAGCCCTCATCCAGTAGTACAGCTCCAGCCCTGCTCATTTCCAGTACAACGGGAAGCCCTTCGTCTCGACATTCGAGGGTCCCGACAATGCCGATGATTGGCATAGTATCAAGGCAGACACGGACTGCTTCTTCATACCGGACTGGTCCTCGTTGGGCGCGGGCCCGGCGCTGAGGGCCGCTGATGGTGTGGCCGACGGCCTTTTCAACTGGGCCGCGTGGCCCTACGGACAGCGCAACATGACTACCTATATCGACGCCTCGTACAACCAGCTCCTAGGGGGCAAGCCGTATATGATGCCCGTTTCCCCCTGGTTCTTCACCAACTTGCCGGGCTATAGCAAGAACTGGCTGTGGAAGAGCGGCGATCTGTGGTACGAGCGCTGGAAGCAGGTGGTATCCATGGACTTCGAGCCCGAGTTCCTGGAGATCATCAGCTGGAACGATTACGGCGAATCTCACTACATCGGACCTCTTGATGACACCCAATATGAAGCGTTTGACGTCGGAGACGCCCCGTACAACTACGTCAAGAACATGCCGCACGACGGCTGGCGAGAACACTTGCCCTACCTGATCGATCTATACAAGACAGGCACGGCTTCTTTCACGAAGGAGAGCATGGTCACCTGGTTCAGGACGTCACTGAGCGACACCTGCGCGGACGGAGGCACCACCGGAAACACGGCCTCCCAGCTCCAGCTCGAGTACAGGGCACGCGACCTGACGCCGGACCGCATCTACTTCTCCGTCCTCTTGGCTAGCCAGGCCGAGCTCAGGGTCTCTTTCGGTGGCAGGGACTACTCCGTCAAGGACTGGGACTACACGCCCGATGGCGGCGTAGGCGTTTACCACACCAGCATCCCCGTCTTGGGGACTGGCGGTGCATGGCACGCTCAAATCATCAGGGGCGGCAGCACCGTCATCGACTATTCGGTCCCGCAGGGCATCTCGGGAGACTGTCCTTCCGGCGTCACCAACTGGAACCCTTGGGTTGGCTCGGCCTCCAGCGGCGGGTCTGTCTCCGGAAAGCCTCCTCGCGACTTGTCTGACCAAGTCTGCATCGCAGGCTGGGGCGAGGGCAACTTCAACGACCTATGCAAGTTCACTTGCAAGTACGGATACTGTCCCTCGAGCGCCTGTATTTGCACCAATATGGGGAAGGCCCTCGACCAGCCCAAGTCGACCAGTGTGGTGGGCTACCCGGGCAACGGCGACGCAAACTATGGTGGTCTTTGCACATTTGCCTGCAACCTGGGCTACTGTCCTTCGACCGCCTGTTCCACAGAGAAGCAGCGCGAGTACGTGCCCGAGACATCGCCGTTCAACCCAAACACGTGCATCAAGGGCGGCGGACACGGCAGCTTCGCCCGCATCTGCAGTTGGGCATGCAGTTATGGTTTCTGTCCCATCTTCTCCTGCTTCTGCACCATGGAGGGACCTCTGAACCTGCCGCCCCCCGTTGTCAAGGTCAGCGGCGTGAAGTCCAACCTGGGGAATGATAACGGCCTCTGTGCCTTCACCTGTTCGCACGGCTACTGCCCGTCTCCCGAGTGCACCTCCAAGGACGACGAGTCTGAAGGCGGCAACTCCGGTGGGATGGACTTGATAGTCGGATACTTCCAGGCTGACAGCATCTCCCGACGTGGTTGTGCGCAGCGGTCGGCGAGCTTTGTGCAGACGGACTCGGTCAGCCACGTCAACGTTGCGTTTGCCTGGATCGATCCCGGCACGTTCGTTCTCGTTCCTGACGCGAGCACCGGGGACGACCAGATGAGACAGCTAGCGGCGCTCAAGGGAGAGGCAACCGGGCTGCACGTCTGGTTGACACTTGGGGGCTATGACTTCTCCACCGGGTCGCGAAGGGCGTCGGATACTCAGGGCATTTTCCGTGACCTGGTCAGCACCCATGAGAACCGCCGCAAGTTTCTGGACAACCTCGTGTCTTTCCTCCGGAACTTTGGCTTCGATGGTATCGACATAGACTGGCAGTGGCCGCAGTCCGCTGACGAGGCGACCAACTTTGCCATGCTGCTGAGCGAGATGCGGGAATACTTTGACACGCAATCCACAGGCTCTTCTTCGTGGGGAATCTCGTTCACGCTGCCTGTTGATACGACCGTCCTCCGGCGCTTCGACCTCGCCTCAATGGCCGCTTCGGCAAGCTGGATCAACCTCGTGGCCTACGATCTGGAGAGTACTGACAAGAGCACTACTCGACCAGTGTCAGATAAGAGCTCCATTGACGCGGCGCTGAGCTTTCTGGCTAACGCAGGGGTCCCGACCAACCAGATAAACCTTGGTATCGCCTTCTTTGGCCGCACCTATTCGCTCTCCGACAAGGCCTGCTCCGCCATCGGTTGCGCCGCTTCCGGCTTTGGCGTAGCCGGGCAATGCACCGGACGGCCCGGGTTCATGTCTTACGACGAGATTCAAAAGAACATTGCTATTGACAACGGCAAGATTGACGACAAGACCGGTGTCAACTACCTCAGGTATGTCCTGCCATCGATTTCATGATTCTCTTTCCCGTTGCAGACTTCTAACATTGAAGCCCCAGCTACGGTGACGGTCAGTGGGTGTCTTACGAAGACCGCAAGTCCATCATCGAAAAGGTCAAGTACGCCAAGAGCAAGGGTCTTCTCGGTCTCGCATTATGGTCCATCGATCTGGACGACAACGACCACCGGCTTCTCAACGCCACCTTGTATCCAGGAGGTCTCGGAAGCCTCTCCTTGACGACCGGTACAAACCACGACGACTCGTCCAACTACACTGGCGTGGACATCAGCCAGTGCTCCTGGTCCGACTGCCAGACTGTTAGTGTTCCGAGCTGCCCCGCCGGGAAGCAAGGTCTTATTGTCAACCGCTGTAACACCAAGGCAGGGACGGGGGAAAAGGTGTTCAAGTCGCTATGCTGTCCTCTTGGCCAGACGCCAAATCCCGACACCTGTGGATGGAATCGGCTGGACGGAGGCTCTTGCACGCCCGGGTGCAAAACTGGCCAGGTCGCCATTGCTTCCGACAAGTGGTTCATCAACTCAAAGGCGGTAGAGAATTACTGCTTCTTTGGCATGGCTACCTTCTGCTGTGACGCCGTAGAAACGGGCGAATCCGTGTGCGCCTGGGAGGACAAGTGCGTCAGCATCGTCTCTAACAGTGTTCCCACATCATCCAAGACATGCTCGCAAGGGCGCAAGTTCGTCACATACGCAAAAAGCGCCCCGGGCCACGGCACATGCCAGGGAGACGCCGGCGTCAACTCCTGGAAGCCTTACTGTTGCGACCAGGATGTCGAAACATCCTCCTTCCAGTGGTCTGGCGTCGGCGGCACCGTGGACGGTGGCAAGAAGGCATGCGAAGCGGCTAAGACATGCCCACTGGGGAAGACTGCCATCGCCTCGTCCTACCTCGGTGGAGGCGCAGACTGCACCGCTGTTGAATTGACCAGCGGACTGGGCATCAGCCAGGCTGTCCTCGTCACGGAACAACGCACGCTTTGCGCAGACCCCAATGCGCTCAGACGGCAGATCAAGACCCTCCCAGTCCCGCTAGAGAATCTGTTTCCTAAGCCAGGACCGTCAACGGACAAGCAGAAATGGGACGTCAAGATAGACCCAACCATGGGCGGGGCTGATCCGACCCCGGAAGAGAGCACCAACGCCGACAAGAACTCCTTCGGCTGGTACATCATGTCGGGCCCCGAGAGTGAGCTCACGTCTCTGAGCAAGCGGGATGGGTCTCACTGGGAGCTTTTCGACTGCGAGGCGGGGGCACTGCACGAGAAGCGCCAAACAGTCCGAGCTGTGTGTACCGACGATTCCAAGGCGAGCAACTGCGGCCTCATCCACAAAGGACGAGGCGTGGCGGAGACGGTGATCGAGATGCCCGAGGGCTGCGGCCCCGGAAGATACGCCATGGCCGTCTCCCTGTCGCCGTCCAGCAACCAGAAGATGCCGCACCGCCTGGTTAAGAGGAGACCGGAACTGGCTGACGCCCAGGTGTACGACCTCACCTTTGACTATGACTTCTCCCCGCTGAGGAGGCGCGCTGGAGGATCTAATGTCCTGATACGCATCGACTACAGCGACGATCCAGGGTACTGGTCCGACATCGTCGCCGCGGCGCCGACAAAGATCAGGAGATCGAAGCGACAGATCGAGGAAGAAGTCCACCGCCACCATGATGGCTCGTATAAGACGTACATGTACCACTTGTGGTCCATCGACAAGCGGTCGACGCCCGAGCACAAGCTGCACGAACTGCATTCGCGCTGGTTCTCCAAATCTGGCTCCATCAAGGACTGGATAGATAGGCTCCGAAATGTGGACGAGGAGTACGAGCTGGTGCGACACCGAGTCAACCAGCAGATCCGCTGGGACCTGTACGACGAGACGATATCCTGCCAGATCAAAGGGGTCGACACAACGGGCTATTTCAAAGCCTGGGCCGACTTGAATATCAACATCGAAACGTCGGCTCTCGTCACGCTGATCGGAAACATGGGTGACCTGAGCAGCTTCGACGAGTCCCACGTGCTCTTCCGGAACAGCGGCTCCGTCAAAGCGTCCCTTAACATGGAGGCGCTCGTCAACCTACACTTTCTCACCGGCAAGGTCGAGCTCTTTGGGCTGCAGAACTTTGGCGCCACCTTCACCGTACCCGGCATTGTGACTATCGGACCCAACTTCCGTGTCCTCGGTCAGCTGCAGGGCACCGCGACGCTGCATGGTCAGGCCCGCGTCGACCTCACGCTCGCGGAATGGGACTTTACCCACCAGTTCCCCGATGCAAACGGCAGGGCTGATGACGTCCTCATGGCTGACAAGAAGCTGGCCTCCGCCGGTGTGGAGAGGGCAGACCCGACGAAACCGCTCGAGGGGCCCAAGTTCTACTACGACGTCTCTGCCAGCGGCGAGCTGAGCTTGATGGTGACACCCAAGGTCACGCTGGGCATCGTATTCGACGACAAGTCGATTCCCGACGCTGCTGTGAGTGAAGATTTGTTGACAAGAGAGTGGCAGCTCTGAAACCCCCCTGCTAACCTCATCACCAGATCGACTTTGGCGTCAACGGCGTTGTGAGCCTGTACGGCTCAGCTAGTTCGAACTCGAACACGGCTTGGGGTTATTGCTACGGCATCAACGGCCGAGTCGAGGTCTTTGCTGAAGTATCGGCGCCGTAAGTGTCTTCGTGATCCTCCAGACCACGGATCTCGTCTCGCCAAACCTCATATGCTGACCCGTTGCCTCCCAGCACCTTGTTCGGGTTCAGCCTGAACCGACACTACGATATTTGGTCCACCGGAACAGTACGTTGCCCTAAGTTCCTTTGTGTTCCAGTCTTGTGGAGCCTGTCATGACATCGATGAGGCTTATACTTTTCGCACAGTTCCCCATCCTTGACGAGACCTGCGCCGCCGCCTCTTCGTCGCTCACGGAAACGCAGCCGAGCAAACGCACGGCCAGGCTGGTCAAGAGAGACAATCTCGTCGGATCACTGATTTGTCCAGCAGAGTCGACGGCAGAGGCTCCGAACGTTGGTTCCTGTCCAGCGTGTGGCGAGAGCACCCCTGGTTCTAGGTCACGGTACGTCAAGAGGAGGTACGGGTTTGTCCTTGAGGAGAGGGCCTACACATGCCCTGTGCTGAGCGACGAGATCTGCGTGCCTGGCGCCTCTGGTAGTATCTCTGGCCGCTCGTCAAGCGACGACATCGTATCATCGCTTGCCCCAAGGCAAATTGGCCAGAAGAAGGTCATCCTGAACTTCGGCGGCGGCGATGTGTTTCTCGACTTCGGGTCGTATGCGCAATGCGGAGATGCTCAGGACTCATGGAAAGGCCGGTACATCCTGAAATACGTCGTGGCGACCAACCCCGGGCTTCAGTGCAACGCAGACATTTCTTTGATGGATAAACCCACCTGGGAAGCGCAGTACTCAGCAATCGGATTCGAGACGGAGCACATATACGAGCCGCAGATGCTGAGAGACTTTTATCTGTGGCTCGGCAGAGGGTCAGGCACGACAGTGGGCACCTACTCGATGGCCGAGCCGCAATGGGTTGACAATGTCCTCATTGGCGCACAGCTACCAGGAGCAAGCCCCGGCAACCTTTTCCTGAGCTTCGACCAGACAAATCTAGGCATCACGCAAAACCCCACGGTTGATACGGTACACAATACCGTGGCGTTGGGCTTCGGCCGTTCGGAGACCCAGAAAAACAAGTTCACCAAGGAGCGCACTGATTCCAACCTGGCTCTGGTACAGTGGGAAATTAACAGCGGGAAGGCGACGTGGATGGGTTTCGAGAAACCCTCCTTCAATCCTTCAAGTGACCTGGAAGAGGATCGGCGACTGCTCCGGAATGCCATGGCCGTCTTCAGCTATCTCAAGTTTGTGCCGCCCGGTTCGGCGACGGGGCAGAAATACGCAAAAGTTGAGGCCATCTGGAACAAGTGGATGCGCGTCTCCAACTGGATCGACTTTGTATTTTGGGAATTCGACAGGCAGTTCACTGTCCGCGGCGGTTGGCAAGCGTGGCCTGGAGCTCCCGTCAACAACGCCGGCGGGAACCCCTCGCTGCGCGCCTTATACGCGCGCTTCGTCGAGGACAGCCTGGCCGAAATCGAGGCGACTGTGGCAAGCTTTTGCACGACGGCGGAAGCGGCATATCTCAACGCACATGGGCCTCTTAACGCCCAGGGAGTGCGTCAATGGACCGATCCAACTACGGATCCCGCTTGGTACAACTCCGCCTTTGGGCCTGGCGGCTGGGCTACGGCTGCGGTAGCGCGATTCCCGAGGGTTAGCTCCGCCAACGGCTGGTCTGCTTATGGGGCCACGGGTCAATTGGATATGATGGTGGATGGGGCAGGCAACTTTGTGAATGGTCTTCCGCCTCCTGATCGCATATAGTTGATGAAACCTTGCCTAGCCATATGTATATTGAGAGAAAGCATTAAACAGTTCGTGCTTTCTGTAAGTAGTGGTTGAGTAAACCATCACCCACATAATGAGAGTAAAAGAGAGAGACCTCATTTGTCGCGTCCCTGAGGCCTGAGCCAACATTCTCGAATGCAATCTCACCACCACAATTAACACGTTTTTGGGCATTGTGACCCGGGTTGTCGATTTCGGCAAAGAGCTCCTTCTGGGGCAGCCATTTAATGAGGAGATAGCTGCCATAGGGGCTCTCATCGGCCGTCCTCGATGATTTGGCAATGCCCTTCTCAGCTAGCGCCGGCTCCCAAGACGCGACCTCAACGTCGTCATCGTCGTCCGCTCTAAACTTGTTGATTGCCAGGATCATCCGCGAGTAGGAGCTATCCATGAAACGCTCGGGCAGGAACCACGACACTATCTCGGCCTTATCGGCCATAGCCAGACGACTCTGAAGCTCCTGCTCATAGTGGCGAACGCATGCGTTCGCGCGTTCTTCGTTTGAGGCAGTCTCCGGCAGAGGAAAGGTGACAACTTCAACCCGGTCTAGCGCGTCGGGCCCCTTATCGCGGCGGCGGGACATCTCGGTGCGTTCAAATAGGGCGCGCGCGAGCCGAGCACTGCGGGATGGGCGGGCGGTGGGGGTGGTGTCGTACACGACGCAACCGAAAGCGGGACGGAGAGGCCGGAGGTCAGATTCCGCCTCGGGGGTTATTTTCGGGACCTGGTAGGCGGCGAAGGTCGGGGAGCTATCGTGGCTGGGCGCGGCTTGGACGATGGTTTTCTGGGGAGGTCCGATTTGGTATCCTGGTCGTGGGCCATCCTCCTCCTCACGTTCTCCTCTCAGCGGTGCTGGTTTCCAACCGTCGCGGCGAGCGTTGCGATTGCAAACTATGCACATGGTTGACTAAAAGATGCGAGGGCGAGGAGCTGGGAGTTTGTTTGTCGTTATGCTTATTATGATTTGTTGTGATTGTTGGTTCAAGTGATTGAGGGGATTGAGGGGTTGAGGTGGTTCTTTTTTTCCTTCGTTGTTGTTGTTGGTTGGTTAGTTGGTGGCGTAGATTTATAGGTGCCTGAGAGAGGAAACGTGTTGGCGGAATGTGTGATTAGTCATCGTTCCTTCACGATGCATGGCTACCAACGACCATAATTAATATCCACTCCCACCAATGTCAGTGCTAGAAACAAAAGAAGATACTTGAACGGACTTGGGATCTGATGTAGTTATGGAGGGATTATTGAGCATCTCCATAACGTTAACACGCGTAGTTGGCACACGCCAACAGTAGAATGCAAAATTAAAACACGTTCCGCTCAGTATTTTGGACCATGCAAAGATGCCAGGTTCACTTGATCCTATTATACCTCAGTGACAATGATCACAAACTTATCCATCTCTGTCTCTTGGAGGCTAGGTTGACTCATATAGATGTCGCTGTAAAATCTACGGCTCATATAACTTGCGGCGCAACCCGCCATTAAGACATTTGCACCCTGACAGCATGTTTCTGATTGTGGCCCGGTGTACGGTAGCACCCGCAATTGGCATATACACGACATCTAACAACGATTCAGCGTCACATCGGATGGGTCTGTTGGGCCGCTTGTTGGCATTCGTTTGAAGTTGAGCTTCGGAAATGACAGGAGGTGCGTGAAGTAGCCTGACAACTCTAGCTGCGGGCGCCAGGCACAACTGTCAAAAAGCAAGTCTAGCCAAAAAGACGGGACTCAGGCCCGGATAGGCCGAACTTTCGCCTTGCAGCTGGTCAATTCAATGATATAAATCGGTATCCTACTCGGACTTCCCGTGCAATGGGAATATACACGGGCATCTGAGCTCTAATGCGTAGTATATCGGAATTATTCCCAATTCCTGGCGTGCTCGGATTTTCTCTAACCATGAATATCACTAAGTTACGTTCCCGGAAACCCTTAGAAATATCCATTTATAGGCGATCAAAGTCTTCGGCGGGCTACTCGATCGAGCTGCTACATAAGATCATGATTATGCCGAACGCCGAATCGTTGATCCAGATCCAGACAATCACATTCAACACTCCGAGCAGTCGTCACATGTCTTTCTAGTCGAACCGCATGCACAGATCCCATAGGTTGACGAAAACTGGCATCCGGCCTGAACGGTGGCAACCAGGCTCACCCAGGTGAGGACGAAAGCAAGATTCATGGCTTTACCTACGTGGTGTCAGTCAGTAGTATTTCCTGATAGGGAACACAATTTACGGTGCTGTATTGCGCGTCAGGGTCGAGATTTAGGCGTTGAGGTAAGGCAATGCGGAGAACAGTATAGTATGGGAAAGAATGGAAAAGGTATTAGGAACTACGTTCGCAAAGCTTCAAGACAGCAGGCAATCTAGGTTCAAGTAGTTCAGCCCATCCCTGCGGGCTAGTCCCGGGTTCTGAATTAGAAATGTATATCGAATGAAAGTTTGTAGGCTTATTATCATTGACCATCAAGCTGGCAAGTTAAGATGCTTACTGTTTGCTCAGGATATCACTTTCTACTCCTTTATGTAACTAGCAAGAATAAGTGTTTTCGATATCGACCTATGGGAGAGCGCCTGTATCTGAGTCGAGTCACGGAACCATGCAACAACCTGACGTCCCAAGGGCGGCTTGTTGTTGGAGGCAGCCGAGGTGAGGTTGGCGGATTTATCCCAATGGTTCACCGTAGTGGGGACTGGAACCTTCCGGTACTCTGTGTTTTGATCACCGATCAAGCGGGTGACAATGGTACTGCAGATGTAACAGAAGGTTGTTCAAGCGGATGATTGAAACCCCCGTGCGTCGTTGGGTTCGACACTTTGGGTGATTCCTCCATCCGTCTATGAAAGCCTGCAGACATTCATGGCTAGCTCCCACTCCCTACTTCCGGATAACTCTGAGCACCATCTTAGTACGAGACTTGCCTCTTTCTCCAGCACAGTTTGAGTCTCACGACACTATGGGCTTCCCCATTTCGTTGTTTTCGCACTTGGCGTTGCCTGCCACTCAGCAGCCCATGAACATATTATTTGATGATTAAAGCACTGCATGTAGCCTCTTTGGAGAAGTCACTTTCTTGACTGATGGCTATCGCTACGATGTCTACGGTTGAGTTGCGATCATCAACAGAAAAGTATAGAGAAGATCTAAGTTTGAAATGTAAAACAAAGATGGTGGCACAATGAAGTATACGAGCACAGTGGAATGCATCAACAGCGAAGTTATATACGTTTTCTCATTTCCAAAGGGTTTAGACGATTCGTGTAGACTGAGAAAGCTGGAGGTGTATGTCAGCTTGTGAGGTCCGGTGTAAATCGGTCGGTGCGTCCAAGGAGACCGATTCTTCAGCCGGCGTGGCAGCGCAAGGAATTGGGTACCACGCCGCAGTCCACCACTACTAGCATCAGCCCGAGATACTTTAGTTCTCGTTCCCCCATGTATTGAAAGCACCATAATCAACCTCGTCTAGCCTTATCTAGCTCTAGGTCGAGGATGCCATCGGGTACAAAGTGGTTGTAGAAGACTTCAACCGCATCCACTAACTCCATACAGATATTCCCAAACATTTCAAACCCATAGCAGGGGGTGATGATCTCTTTATCCATATCCGGCTTATAACCTCGACCCGTGTGTGAACGCCACAGCTCCTTACGGGGCTGCCAATCGATGCAAAGAAAACTGCCAGAGCGGCTCGCCTCGGGTTTCATACAAGCTTCATACTCGATAGCGGTTTCTTCGTTGCTTATCGATTCCTCCCAGGACGCTACCTCGACTTCGTCGTCATCATCGTTTTCTTCCAAGCGGTTGATAGCAAGGATCCTCCGCGCGTAGGTGCTTTCCATGATACGCCCCGGCAGGAACCAGGAGACCGCCTCGGCCACGTTAGGTATTAACAAACGGCTCCGGAGCTCCTCCTCATGGTGGCGGACGCAAGCCTCCGCGCGCTCTGTATCTGTGACCGACTGGGGCAGGGGTAGCGTGACGACCTCGACCCGATCCGGTCTGTGGTTACGCTTCCTACGATACCAGTAGGTGCGGTCAAACACGGCGCGTGCGAGCCGGGCACTGCGGGTAGGGCGAGCGGTGTGCGTCGTGTCGTAGACTACGATACCGTACGGAGGACGCAGAGGTCGGACCGCAGCTTCCAAGTCTTCTGGGCCCAGGTCTTCTGGGGTGTCTTCGAAGACTTCGTACGCGGCGAAGGTCGGGGCGCCGTCATGGCTGGGCGCAGATTGGACGATGGTCTTTGCTGGATTTGGCGAATGATAATATCCCGCTTCCGCTAGCTCTTCCTCCAGATTTTCATCGTAGATTTGCTTCAGGACCTCCCACCGTCTGCTCGGAGGAGTGAAGGACTCCTGCCATTTGCTCGGAGGAGTGAAGGACCAAGGGGGATGAGGGCAAACTCTGCACATCGTTATGCTGAAACTTTATGGATGAAGAGCTTGGATCAAAATGGAAGTTTCTTCTTCCTGTTGTTGTTTTCGGGGAGTTTTCACGGAGAGGAATTGGTGGGTGTGGTACCAACACACGCCTACCTATAGAAGACTCAATTGGCCGGGCTGCAGCTGTGTTTCCACTTGCAACAGTGGATCGGTTCAATGAACTGCCCGGGCGAGGCGGCACAGCAAGAATATTCGGGAAAAGGAAAAGCTGAGAGGGCTTCGACCGTTGCCCGGACAGCTGGCGTCCTGTCTCCCGGGCTCCCGGCTTGTCATTTGGATTAACACTCATTGGATATACCTAAAGCTTGATAACCTTTTCTCACAGGCCATGCATGCTGATTTCTCCATTCCTCTAGAACCCCCAGCAATGCTGTCCTTTCCCATGGGTCATTAAAGTAATCGCCATATAGCATGATTCCCATTCCCGCTGTGGTCAAGTTGGGCGGGGCTCTGAGGTGATGCAGTGCGAGACCGCAAAGCTCGAGGATCATGGCGCGAACTTGGTGTTCTGCGTCTCTCTGCGCGCGTCGATTGGACACTTGCCCGCTGCGTCGCCGGGTAGGTTAGCTTTCAACGAACAAGCAGCAAGGGGGTTCTCAAAACAGGCTTTTGGGAGGCTTCATACTGTAAACTAGGGTCCTCGGCCACCAGAATCATCCTTGCCAAGATGAAGTGTTGCAGAGCGGTGACCTCGATGTCTGACCCGTACCATACCAATGGAAAGATCTCACCTCGGGACCTGTCCGCAGGCCGCTGCACGATGGGGATGAATTGACGGGCGGCTTCGACGATCAAAACCTCCTCCTCGTTTCTTAGCCTCTCTGCAAGCATATTCGTCAGAGTTGCAATCCACTCGTGAAGATTCTCACCCCAGTTGAAGAACAGTTACGGGAGACTTACCCCACTCAGCCCCTGACCTTTCTCCCATTTTCCATTTGGCAACTTCAGACATGAACCAAATGAGCTTATTTGCGAAGCAAGTATCTCTGTCCAAGTCTGGCGGTTGCGCTGTAATCTGCGGAGACCGCTCCAGCGTCAAGGCGAAGTAGATCTCTTGTCTGACCGCTACCCAGTACACCGCGCTCAGCAGCCCAGACCATCTCGACGGTGCAGCTCGCAAGATTGCCTTTGTGATATCAAGAAAGTTGACATTTCCAATGCCATTTCCAAAATCAGAGCTCGTCGCGCTCTGCGCCTCTTCAGGATCCATCTCCTCAAACTGACGCAGAATAAGAGCGGCTGCGGCCAGATTCTCTCTATACTCCTCGTCCTGCGTCCGCGAGACCTCATGCAAGGCAGGTATGCACCGCAGCATATACTCGATAGCGCTCTGCGGCGTCAGGTCTGGCAGGAGCTGGTTCTGGTACACGATCACCCCGCCGGGCTCCGTGCGGAACCGTGGGTGCCGACAGAGGTGTCGCGCGGCGACGGCGAGGGTGGCGTCGCGTAGGGGCTGGCACGCGCGCGCGCGGCGGGTGACGATGAGCTGGAAGTGCCTCTCTTCGTCGCAGAGATCGAACTACACCAGACGGTTAATATGTTGGACTTGCCACGGTACAGGCGTCTCTGATAGCACGTAACCCATTGAGAGAGCTCCTCCGTGAAGTATCGCAGGAGGCAGGCTTCTTGGATGCCGTCGTTCGGCGGGTGGGTGTGCAGGCCGCCGACGGGGTCGTGTTCGCTGGGTTGGTGGTAGCTGTCTGCTGAAGGGGAGAACTGATCGACGGTGACGGAGGGACCGGTGGCGTGTGGACTGGGAACATGTGGTTCCTCGTTCAGGCGGATTCTGCCAGTGGGCAGAGCTGTCGTCGACCATGGGGATGCACCCGATGTGCCGGAGCCTGAAGGCGATGCTGGGAGGAATTGGCCTCCATCATGAGGAACAGTCTCGGTTCTTCGTCTCTTAGTGGGAGTTGGTAGGCGTTGTGATTGGATATCGTCCAGTCTCCTTTCGTGATTCAATACATCAGGTGTTTCTGAGAGGTTGCGGACGGCTTCGTGGAGGGCGGTGTTCACAGCTATGCGATCGGGGAGAGATGTAGTGTTACTGATGGGAGACTCATTGTTGGTGTCTTGGGCCTGTGGGCCCCCGCCTGTCTTATTGTTGCGGCTATCAAAACGGACTTTGTGAGAGCGTCAGCCGCCTCGTTGGCGAAGACAAGAAAAGGGAGAGAATGACTCACACGCTTTCGGTTTGCTGTTCACCCACCGCTGCTCCCGAGAGAATGCACCGTCGTAGTTGGCCGTCGAGCCCTGCCGGAAAGAAGGCCGTCGTTGGGGGCGAACACATTCAACACCACGCTTCTCACATCGACTACAGCGGGGCTGCTGGTCGTCGCCTGCGTGTTGAACGAACCAAAGTCAGAATTGGAAACCTGCATAGCTCAATGGCACCGAAGAAACGCCAAGAATCTTCAGCCGGAGTCAAGGTCGAGAACGCTATCGGCATTCGGTCGGTCTTCATCCGGGGAGAGCCTCCTCCATCCCAAGGAAACGAGCCTAAAACTCACACTTCTCATGTCTCTCTGCACACCTTTGACGTCAGACTAGTGGAACCTGTCAAATGGTCACGCGCGACCAGCAAGCGCGAAGAGGGACGCACGTACCTTTGCATCTTGCGCAAGGCTTCGTACCGCTTGGCATCTCCTGTGGGGTGAGCGGGATCCGTGGCCCTCACGCTGCGGCTGCTGCTGTTGTTGCGGCTGCTGCTGCTGACGCGGTATGCTGGCGACGGCGACGTGAGCAGCAGGATTCCTCCGTCGAACTCGCTTTGGAAAGTCTCGCCTACGCCGTCGTCGCTGGCCCGTGTTCGGCGAGGAGGTGGAGGTCGATAAGGGTGGCGGGAGCTGGGATAGGCGGACGAGCGAGGAGGAGGAGAGGAAGCGGAGCAGCCTCATCGGCGAAGCTTGCTCAAAGAGGGAATTCCTAAAGAAAGAAGAAAGCAAGGGCTAATATGTGGGGAAGATGGTTCGCTGTTCGCCGATGGTTCCGCGTCCCCGTTGAAACGTGGCTGGGCGAAGCTCAGATTGTGAAAACGTGCATTAAGCGCCCAGAAGGAGAAGAAAACAACTCGTTGTAACGCTTCACAGAATAGGACCAACCCGTCTTATGTGTCCAATTTACCCCGCACTCCAAAGCTGTCTTCCCCCGCAAAACCAACCGCCGGCCTTACTGCATAGTGTGTTCATTCAAATCTGGGGCAGCTGATGGGAATTACTGTATCCGGTAGGTGGCGCCGATAGTAGATCCCGAGCGTGTTGTTTCGAAAGCGGTTTGGCCAGCTTTGCGAAACTCCAGACCGCCGAAAGACAGGATGGCATTCGGCATCTTTGGGTGACGGAGTTCAGACCGGCTTGATCTTGTGGTCTACAGCTGTTTTCAACCTGCCAAAAGATACCGGGAAGGGAAGGAGCCGCCGATGTTAAAAGAGACCCTTCATCGCCCATGGTCTTTGACTTGGAGGAGCTCTGTACTGCGCTGTCATTCTCCTACATCATCATAGACGTTTCTGCGCCATTTGAAGCTTCTTCAATATCAATTGAACTCTGGAAGACTGAATCCTTTCCTAGAAATCTTTTAGATTCTCTTCAAGCCAGAAAATATCATAAAAATGTCCGGAGATAAGCTCAACGTTGCCGTCGCCGGCCTTGGTCGCATGGGTATGTCTCGCCCCGCATTCCCCCGAGCCCGTGAGCTCAAAGGAGCTACCACAGCTTCGGCGAAGCGGAAGCTCATGGGCTCAGATCGAGCCGATGTGAGCTGTTCTCGCTAACACCGGTCAACAGGATTGCGACACGCCAGACACTTTGCGACCCTAACACCCAAGGCCAACCTCATCGCCGTCAGCTCACCGGTGCAGGCCGAGCTCGATGCCGCCGTCGCAGAGTTCGGTCCTTTGAGGACGTACCTTGACTACGACGAGATGCTTCGCAAGGAGTCTACGCTGCAGGCCGTCATCGTTGCGAGCGCGACCACAGTGCACGCCGAGCAGGCCATCAAGGCCATTGAGAAGGGCCTGCACGTTCTGTGCGAGAAGCCCCTTAGCACAAACGTCGATATCGTATGTTCATCTTCCCATTCACCATCGTTATCCATGTGATATGAGCTCCGCGTTGCTGACCATTGACGTAACAGTCGCAATCCGTCGTTGACGCCTATGAGAAGTCGCTCGTCAAGAACCCCAACCAGAAGGTCATTTGCGGGTTCTCCCGTAGATTCGATGCCTCCTACCGCGACGCCTACCAGAGAGTTGCCCGCGGTGATGTAGGCACACCCTCCGTCTTCCGCTCCCAGACCTGCGACAAGCTCGACCCCTCAGGCTTCTTCGTCGACTACGCCGAGTTCAGCGGTGGTATCTTCGTTGACTGCTCCATCCACGACATCGACCTGGCCTTGTGGTTCTTTGGCGAAGACAGCGTCGTCAAGAGCGTTTCCGCCATTGGCATCACTGCCGTGCAGGAGGGCCTAAGGAAGCACAACGACAGAGACAACGCTGTTGCAGTTGTCGAGTTCTATGTAAGCAAACACACCCCGTGCAGCTCTCTACACTTGTAGATCACCAACTAACAAAATGCGATAAAACAGGGCGGCAAGATCGCGCAGCTCTTCTGCTCCCGCATGATGGCCGCCGGCCAGGAGGACACGACCGAGATCTTTGGCACGAGCGGCAAGATCGCCGTCAACACGCAGCCGCAGCTCAACCTCGTCAACTTGTACGAGCCCACGGGCATCCGCCGCGAGATCCCGCCCGACTACTACGGCCGCTTCCGCGAGGCCTTCATCACCGAGGCCAACGAGTTCACCGCGTGCTGCCTGAACAACACCGCGCCGCCCATGAAGCTCGTCGGCGCCGTCAACGCCGTCAAGATCGGCTGCGCGCTGCAGGAGAGTCTGATCACGGGCAAGAAGATCGACTTTGACGAGTCGGGCAAGCGTATCGAGAGTGCGCGCTTGTAGGCGGTGTTATATATATGCAGTCAAAGCAGGTGGCAGGCGCGTGGATGATAACTCATGAATGGGGGAAATGTTTACGATGATGAAATTTTAGAGATGACCCCTGCTTCTCTGCATGTTCTAGATGCGTGGGGGTTTTCCGATGTAGTCACGAGGCTCTTTGTAGACACGTTAGAATAGGGAAAACAACGTGTTTCGTCGTCATAATCTGCCCCTGTCACGATGGTCCGGACAGTTTCCGTGGTCACATGGCACATGTCTGATCCAAACGTGCGCCCGGTCGTTCATTTCTTTCTTCTTCGCTGCTGTTCCTGCGCGTTCTATTCGTAGCGGTGCAATCTTATCGCAGCTGGGTCCGCTCATTAATGACGTAGGCGCCAGGTCCCCGGTCGAATTGACTGCGGTGACACGGGTCAAGACGGGGTCACTGAAAAATGAGGCTTAGATGGGTCGGCGCAAATGATCCCATCGCCGACGCACGCCCTGGTCAATTGCGATGCCGTCGTTGTGGCCCCATCATTCAACAGATCACTCAGCCAATTGTGTGTATCATGTAAGTCAGACGATGTTATTTTTTGGTTCTTTTGCTGACTGTTCATCCCCCTGTTCCGCAAAGGGTAAATCGGGAAATTACCTATTCGGGAGGGCGGTTTACGCGGGCGGGATCGGAGGAGGGATTGTCCTTGGCTAGGGACTCGTTCCTGAATCTGTGGAATTCCCTGATTAGCTTGTGCATTGCGATCGGGACTTGCAATGGGGGAAAATACTCCTAGCAAAACTGCATATCACTTCTCCAGCTGATCGCGTCTGAAGTTGACCGCGGGTGACCTACTTTGCTGCCAATTGTCAATGGGATTTCCCTTCCTTTTGTGTAAAGGGAGTACATTGAAGATGCCTGTCGTCGGACCTTGAATCCCGCGGGTTATGCCAATCAATGCCTAGATCGGGACACAACGCACTAGCGAATTCCGAGGGATATGGGCTTGGCCTTTGGGGGGCCTGGCTGCGCTGTTCACATAATGTGACAATTCAACCTCCGGAATCTCTACGCCGGCACGGGACTCCATCCCGATTCACCCCGGCCCCAGACATCGGTCAAGAATAACGAAAATGGGGCCCATGTCGTCATAGCAGATTCATAAAGATACAACAATCGTCAGCCCCAGAAACCAGATTTCCCCCAGGCTTTTTCGGGGCGCGATTGATTCAACAACCACGCACTGCGCGGGCTATCTTTGATCCTCCCCTTGTTCTGCCGAGTGAACGCTGCGCCCAGAGCGTCCCCAAGGCCAGCCAACCACATGCCCTTGTCCGGGTCCTCGGCGTCTCAGAAGTTCAGTGGGAAAATGGCTAAGAATGGCCGCTAGTGTGACAACGAACCGGGGTGCAGACAGAAAAGCGCAGGCCTTCGCCGATGGGTTCCCAAAGAGGAATCACGTCGGCTACAAGTCCGCTGTCATGACGCCCAGCCGCAGCTAAACTCGCCGGTGGGCAGCCCAGCCCAACCAGCCAACCAGACACCCCTGTTATGGTGGCTCGCTTTAACCCTCTCTGCTCACCACGTTCAGACCGAAGAGTCGTGCTCTGCTCTCGTTCCCTTTTCCCGTAGTAATGTCTCTTTCGCCGATGGTTGGCGAAGGTTTTGGTTGGTCTCCACACTTTGGTGTCTTCCCCGTGGGGGAGGATGCAGACGACAAGGACCGTGTTCCACTCTGCCGGTGGGGAGGGTTAATGCTGGTGCCCGTCCGTCCATACGTAGTGTACTCTTCGTCGGGAAATGACAGAAGCATGGCACGAACTGCCTCCGCGCCCTCACTTGCGTTGCCCCCCTAGTCTGTAAACGGATGGGTCCCGTCTGTAGCCCAGAAATCCTGTTCTTGGTATCCCCCTCTTGGGTGTCCATTTGACTACTCAACACCAAGTCTTGAACACAACTATATATAAGAGCCGCTCTTCTTCGTCTCACCTGACATTTGGGTTTCGTCTCATTCTAAGCACGCTCCCTCTCCCCCATCCATTCCTTCAACCTAAGCACAACCGCCTGTGGTGTAACCCTATCGACACCATCCCATCCTGATCATCACCACCACATACACCCCCTCAAGTGCCACGACATCGACGACGATCATGTCGACCAGCCCAGACTCACAGACCCTTAAAAAGGTCAAGAGCCTCGACAACGCCCACGGCGAGCACGTCGAGGACTTCATCGACACCGTCGAGATCAGCCTCACCCCCGCCGAGGATGTCTCATACGGCCGGGGCGGCGTTCGCGGCCTCTTCGACTCGCCCTTCGTCGGCGGCGCCGCCCTGCTGGCCTCTCTCGGAGGCTTCAGCTTTGGCTACGACCAGGGCGTCATCTCCATCATCAACGTGATGGAGCAGTTTCATGCAGTCTTTCCTGATGCCGCCACGCCCTTTGGCAAGGGCTTCATGACCGGCATGCTCGAGTTCGGCGCCTTCCTTGGATGTCTCTTCATGCCCACCCTCGCTGATAAGATCTCCCGTAAGAGGGCTTTGACTGTTGTCGTGGCTATCTTCAACATCGGAGCTATCATGCAGACCGCGGCCCCGTCGTATGGTGTCCTGGTCGCCGGCCGAACAATTGGTGGCATCGGTGTCGGAACTCTGGCTATGGTGAGTTGAGCCCCTGAATTAAACCACCAAAACCACTCATCGTGAGATTCAACGACACACAAGGCTAACACTTTACTCAACAGGGCTCACCAATCTACATCTCCGAAATCGCCCCACCAAACCTTCGAGGCACCCTCCTCGTCCTCGAGTCCATCTCCATCGTCGCCGGCGTCGTCATCAGCTTCTTCATCACCTATGGCACCCGCCACATGGCCGGTGAAGTATCCTTCCGCCTGCCCCTCGGTCTGCAGATGGTCTGCTCCACCCTCCTCGGCATCGGCATCCACTTCTACCCCTACTCCCCGCGTTGGCTTGCTCTTGTCAACCGACCTCAGGAGGCTCTGCAGTCCCTCACCCGTCTCCGCCGCCTCCCTGCCGACGACCACCGCGTCCAGGCCGAGCACCGTGGCATCATCTCCGAAGTCGAGGTCCAGAAGATCATGCAGGAGCGCAACCACCCGGGCAAGAGCTTCCTCGCTCTGGAGTTTGCTGGCTGGTGTGATCTCTTCAGCAAGAAGCTGTGGCGCCGCACTGCCGTTGCCGTCGGTATTGCCTTCTTCCAGCAGTTTAGGTATGCAAAACAGACACTACAAACCAACTTTCCTTACTAACAGGTACTCCAGCGGCATCAACGCCTTCATCTACTACGCGCCCACCCTCTTCCAGTCGCTAGGCCAGTCCGAGGAGATGTCCCTCATCATGTCCGGCGTCTTCAACATCCTCCAGCTCGTCGCCGTCGCCGCATGCTTCTTCATCATCGACAAGGTCGGCCGCCGCCCGCTCGCCATCTTCGGCGGCATCGGCGGCGGCACCGCCTGGGCCATCATGGCCATCCTCACGGGCGTCTACTCCAAGGACTGGGCCGCCAATCCCGCCGCAGGCTGGGGCGCCGTCGCCATGGCCTTCCTGTTCGTGCTGCTCTACGGCATCTCCTACTCGCCGCTCGGCTGGATCCTCGCCGCCGAGGTGTACCCCAACTCGCACCGCTCCAAGGGCGTCGCGCTCGGCACCGCGACCGTCTGGCTGTGCAACTTCATCGTCGGCGTCGCGACCCCGCCCATGATCGACCAGCTCGGCTTCGGCACGTACGTCTTCTTCGGCGCGTGGTGCTTCCTCGCGTCCGTGTGGGCGTTCTACCTGGTCCCGGAGACCAAGGGCAAGACGCTCGAGCAGATGGACGAGGTGTTCCACGACACGTCCGCGCAGGAGGAGAAGGAGATCATCAGGCAGCAGATTGCGGCGCGGCACGGGCAGACGCTGGGCGCGGGAGGCATGGAGAGCACCAAGCTCAACGTTTGAGTCATTTAGAGCGATTATCATTATCAGGGCACGTGTGCGGGATGGATGTTTTCAGGGGTTGGCGTTGGTGTTTGATTACAGAGTACGGCTTGTACCAATAGCGATGGCATGATTACGGGATATGAATCAAAGATACCACTTTTCCAAAGGAACATCTATCTTCAAGATTGTGAATTTCGATGATACCACGTGTGCTTGACTCAATGCAGGTCATTCGGGATGAATCAGAGTGCATGCACCCATCTCGCATTCCCCGGACATAGGGATGCCCACAGCTACTCGAACTGATGCTACTTGACCTACTGAAGCGACCAGCCGTGACAACTTACGGAAAGATTACTTATCCGTCCGTATGCAGGCCCAGCTGTCAAATTTAGACGAATATACCACGTAGATGCCGATAGAATGGAAAAGGAGGGGGGCTGAAAGAACCCGAGTCAGTTGATTGCAGACTTTGGGAGGCTTTCCATGTGCCGTGTCCTGTGGCCCATGGCAAGCAAGGGCTTAGGACACGAGCGTAGCCAACAAGACTCTACGGAATTACAACGCCAAGGGCTAAACATACGCAACAGCCCCAGTACAGCGCTCCCCCAGGCGCCGCTTACAACGCGCCAGTCGTCATTGGTAAAAACTGAAACGCTGCAGCTGAGGCGACTTTGGGTCCAGCATGTGGCCTCTTAGCTGAATTTCCTCTTTCGGTAGGCGTCGCCGATGGCGGGGCGGCCGGATCGACGCGCCCGCCCGCTCCCCATCTTCCCCTCATCTCCTCCACACGACAACTCTCCATCAATGCAATATCGACGCGGGGCGAGTGCGGGCGCGCCGAGTAATGGCCGAAGGAACCCCAAGGACTTACACGCGTATGCCTCCCCTGATTCCCCAGATAACCCGCAAAATCTTGTCAGACGTGACATTCTTCACGGCCTGAACATGGGGTGGGAGATAAGATTACATGTTTGCGGGGATAGACTTTGCGTCATGTCTTACCTACGGGGCCTCGAGGTGCTGCGAGGGATTTGACTAGCGGAACATGTTGCTACACTTGATTCTCGGACCAGCCGCTGTCCTTCCAGAGTCATCTGGAAAGAGAAAGATCCGTACGTCGAATATGATGCTTCTCGGACTTGCCGCAGCATGCCTCCATCGCAGGGTCAGACCTTACGAGACGCTGATGTGCCGAATCTGTGAACGAATTCAGCGTTATTACACATGATCATCGAAGTGGTCATGGTCTCTTTTGTCCTCATCTTACGCACTCTAGGCTCTAGACGATCAGGGCATTGTATGGCACCGAAGTCGAAAATCTCCAGATGCTTGTGGCCATCGAGGCCGGAAAGGGTTTCTTGCGCGGAAAGCCATTGAGCAGCAGCGAGCAGGAGGTAAGCGAGAAATCACAGACGCCTAAGTCTCCTTTGGCGTTATGATTGCGAAAGGCTAAGCGGTGATGCTTGTGTAGTTCACCAGAGTTGTCGAAGCCACAAACGCTCCCGCCGCGATTCAAAGTAATGGCCGATTTGTTCTACGGCGATGCGGCAACCGAAATCTTCGACGCGAAGGCCACCGGCGGCCCGAAAATACTGTGCTGGTAAACAGGCTAGACATTCAGACTTTGCGGCCAGAGAGCTGACAGCGGTTTGAGGATGCGTCTACGCTTGAGGCAGATAGACTTGCTCATCGAGAGGAGCGTTCAGGTCACGCAGGGCTCTGCACTATGAGCTGTTCACAGGAGGCTCGGCTATTCACCCAGGCGGCACAACAGATTCACATTGTACCAGATTGCTGCGATGCAGAAGGGAGCTGAATTGCTTGCATCTCACTCGGCTTAGCCGCCAATCAGGCGCAAAGGCGCAGGAACATTGGGTCTGGGTGTAGGAGACACGGCGCTGTGCCGCATCCGTGCCGACGGCGGCCCCACCCTCACAGTCCCGGCCGAGAATGGATCCCACCCTCCCGAGAGTCGGTACCTGCGTCTGGCCAGCCGATCCGGCAGCGGCCGGGGGCCGCTTCCATCGGCGCAGGAGCATTGTGCCGAGGGCAAGCGGAAAGCAGACCCGGCGTCGATTTGCCGCTCCACACGGCATGAACGGCAGACTCCACCAAAACCCCCAAGATTTTTTGCCGACCGGGGCCCAAAGCAGGATTGGATGCCATGCAACCGCAAAAGCAAGTTTTTTCGGGGTTACCCGACCAACCCCATCATCAGCGATGCAGAAAGCCTTTCTCGCCCTGCATGCATGCACACGCGCACGCGGTGCTCTGTACTCGCATCCCGTCGGTAGTCAGCCGGCTTTGGCTCACTGCACTGCCCGACGCCGCCGCTGGGAGCCGGTCAGGCAGCTGAATCCCAAGCCCAGGGAGAAAAAAAAAGGTCTCAGATGACAGGCCGTTCATCCTTTTTCTCAGGGGAAAGAAAACGCTGATTGGCGGTGCCGTCTCTTGGCCCCCATACTCGACACGAGCCGGCGCAGTCCACGGGGGCCGAACTGGCTGATCAAATGGACGACAAAGACCTGGCAAGCGGTGGGATAGACATGGCCCTTCTTCTATTCGTACCAAGAGACTAGAAAAGCTGGTGGTGGCACGGCGACGTACCCCGGTTGCCGGGCAGCCGTGGCTGTGTCAACTCACCACCACACAAAAAACGACGCGGTGGCACCGTTGGCAGGCCTCTCTAGACGCGGCGTCCCCACAACACGCCATTACGGGGGATCGACTGACACGCTAAAACCCGAAATCTCCCAATCACCAACACCGATATTAATAGGCAAAGGAGGGAAAACTGGGGCTGCGGAACGGCTTGAGGCTTGAAGGCTTGTGGGCTTGCCGGGGAAGCGGCTTTCACACGTCAGACTGGAGACAGGAGGATCCAACAGGAGCTCGACGGCTTTTCGTGTTGATCAAAATAATGGGGAACTAAATAAGGGGAGGTGCTATGCGAACGGACTCGCCTGACCAGGGCGAAACTTGGTAAAAAGAAACGAAGAAGAAAAGAAGAGCCCTTTCAATCAAAACCTCCGTCATCCCCTCTGTGTCGGCCGCACTGCTCTCCTCCTCTTATCACTCACTCACTCATAATCCACAGTCGCTGTCCAGCCTCACGCGTCCCCCTCAATAAACTCACCATCACGAGTCTAATCATCTAATCAAACCAAATCAAACCGCCCAAAATGTCCACCTCCGCCGTCGCAACCGCCACCTCGTCCGGCGCCGCCGCGACCTCCACCGCGATCTGCTCCTCCAACCTCTACGACACCCCCATCCAGGACTCCAACTGCGCGATGCCCTACGGCGGCAACCACACCGACATCATGAAGGCCTGCTGCAAGGACGCCGACGTCGTCAGCTACTACGACAACTGCGGCATCTACTGCCTCGCCATCGACCAGACCGTCGCCGAACTCACAAAGTGCCTCTTCGACAACGGCGCCCCCGACACCGGTGTCTTCTGCCGTGGCAATGTCAGCTCCTCCGCCACTGCCACCGGCAACTCGAACCCCCCGGCCTCCGCCGGCGCCAGCATCGTCGCGAGCGGCGGCGGCAGCAGGGCGAGCGCGAGTGGCAGCGGCTCCAGCAGCAGCTCCAGCAGCTCTGCGAACGCTGCGGCTGGGGTGTATGCCCCCGCTGGCGTGAGCACGCTTGGCATGACCATCGGCGCTCTGCTGCTCTCTGCTGCTACTTTCGGCGCTCTGCAAATTTGAGATGGTCTGCGATGGGGTGCTTGGGAGGTGCCTGGGGTTATGACCCACAGGCGGGGGACAAAATTGCATGCATGGTCATGCACACACGGCCGATTTAATGATTCAATCACGACGCTCCTTTCATCACCACAACATTTATGAGGGTCCTTCTTCCCTTCTAACTTTTCTCCTTCGCAGTTTCCAGCCTAGAAGTATACTCCTTTCGTTACTATATAACTTTAACGGGAAATCTTTTTAAAGGCTAGGGTAGTCTAGATTTTCCCCGTTAGAGTTATATAGTAATTAAAAAAGTATACCTCTAGGCGGTAAACTACGAAGGAGAAAAATTAGAAGGGAAGAAGGATTCATCACCACATCGGTCGGATATGGGTAATATTTGAAAACTGGACTCTGGCAGGAGTAAAAAGCATTGCGATATCCATTCTGCGTGTAATGCAGATTAGTACTTGTATATGTCGATTAAGTCTAGCTTAATGGAAATAAAGAACAATCAACAGCACACCCTTCAAGTATGTCTCCAAAAGCGCTCAGCGTGAAATATGTGCATGCGCATCGAATCAGCACCAATAGAACCCCGTCCACATCACACCAACGCCCATCGTCCGACCCGTGGTAGGATGCACTTGCTGGCATATTGATACCAAAGTACTCCGCTGCATATCCAAGAAAATTCCCCAACATTCACAGGTGTCATCCAGGGACCAGCTTTTCACTAGCCACTTCAGACATACATTTTCCCTCCGCCGCAACGCAAATTTCTCCTCCCTCGGACTCACTTAGTCACTGCAGGAATGACCTCAATTCGATTGCTGGCCTCAACTGTGTTTAACTACAGGCTACAAGCGATAGTAAAAGGGCCATCTAAGCCTTATCAAGCTGATATCACAATTGGGGGGGGGGGGGGGGGGGTTGATTCGGCGACCAAACCGCTGGCATCGCCAACGCTCCTAGAAAGCCTTGCCACACATTCATGGTTTCACAGCGCCCACGGCAAGGCAAGTAAGCTTGTCATTGTCAATCAGTCAATTAATCAATCATGAAGCACAGCCAGTCAATCAACATGAAGTTAATTCGAGGCCTATACTTGATTGACTGCTTTGGGTGGGCGCTGTGGTTTGAGCACGAAATCAGTAATGCGCAGATAGAAACGAGCAGTTTATGATGTATATGATGTAAATGAATGTGTCATTGCAATTCGAGTATACGGAGAATAGAGTTCAAGAATAAGTGTTGCAAGGAAGTCACGAATGTGAAGAGCTGTTGCAGTGTGTAGGAGTTGGACCAATTGTAAATCTCAGCAATCACCCCCGTAGTTTCCGTTAAAGAGCGCGCAGCGAAGCCGTTCCACCAGGTTACGCAACTGAGCAACGCATGCTGAATCACTTGAACAAGCTTGGAAATTGCCAACCCTTATGGGAAAAGCCCACTGGGTGTGGCTGCTTGTTGAAAAGTCTCCATCGGATGCTTGCGTCGGCCCTCGAGTCTCGAGTCTGGCTGGGTCCCACTGCCAGATTAACAACTGGCGCGTCGAACAATAACGTTCCAGTTGGTCTTGTGAAATGCTTGACCGCTGACCAGGGGGTTTCCTTTGCAGACGCTAAGCGCGCGCGTTGCGCCGTCGGCGATGGAGGAGTACGAATCGAGCGTCTTTCGGCTTTTCGCCTATATCAACACGTCAGTATCTACTGCACGGACGACTGCAAAACCAAAACTCAACACTCACATCGTTGCACCACCAGATTGCAGAGTTCCACGAGCAGCTGACACGGCCGCAGGTGCCGGGACCAGCGGCGTTCCAGGGTCGGCCTCCGACGCCGCGGAGGTAGCCAACCCCGGCGTAGAACCTGTCGCGGTTGGCCTTGGGGAAGTTACCGCAGACCACCTTGGAGCCTGAGAAGTCGGTTCGCTTGTCCAAGGCCGCGGACTGCGCAATGGTCGTGTTGAGGAGCTCCTCGTACTCGGGGTTGAGCTCCTGGAGTTGATCGACAACCTCCTCGACGGTGCCGCTCAGCAAGACAGTCGGACCATCGGGCGTGGCCTGGACCTCCCACTCTGGAACGTAGACTTCGTAGCCTGGTATGGGGGCTTCGATGGCGGAGGCCTTGGTTATGAGTTGTTAGCTTTACCGTCCCTGCTATTCGAGGAGATAAGACCCACCCCCAAGTAACGAAATCCCCCCACAACGAAATCGCCAAAATCATGTATTTTAACCCTTACCCTAATAATTATATTTTTATGTATTACTAAATATCTCTACTGTTCTATAATAATAATATATGATTTTATACTCTCTTTATTATTAGAAGATTTACTATTAATTAATATTATTTCTAACTTAATTAGATAGTTTTATACCTCCTATTTCTTCTTATAAATCTCTTTAACTATTATAAACCTCTTATTTAGGTTTAGTTTAACTTTAGTGTGTTTTTTTAGCTTATATTTCTTAACTTATACTTTAAGGGATTTAATAATTATCTAGTTACTTACTATAGCTATATTATTAAGGTTTAGATATATACTGATCTTATAAATAAAGAGTATATAAACTATAGTATTAACTTCGCTAAAGTTTAACCTTATCCTATTATTAAATATCTATATAACGCACTATAAATTAGCTAAAGACTTTAGTATTTTAATAATAATATTACTAAGTATCTATATTATATCTATAGATATTTTATACTATATAGAGGTTTATAGAATATCTATTATAGTTAGTATATAGAAGAACTAACTTATTAATAGCTTAGCTATATTTATAAACTATACTTATTACTTTAAAGCTAATATATATTATATAAGATTATATAGTATCTATTCTTATATATAAATAGTATTAGAAGAAGTTCTACTTCTTAATTAGTATAGTATTAAAGGTGTAGTTCTATTCTTTAAGGTAATATTTATAGGCTTTCTTAAGAAGTAAGAATACTACTATATTAAGAAGCTATATAAAGTATAATAAATATATAGATAGGTATACTAAGTAAATATTATTAGTAAAGTATTTCTATATAAAATTATTAGATATATAGCTTTTATAGCTATCTATAATAAGAAAACACTTAGAATAAAGTTTCTTAGCTTCCCCTATAGTTAATAAGATAAATACCTTCTCTAGCTACTTAATACCTATAGAATTTAATATCTAGCTGTTCTAAGATAATATAAAATATTATCCCTTAAAGTTTTTAAGTTTATTAGGGAATTATTACTATTAAATAGTTTTATTTTTAAAGATAATAAGTAGAAGTAGATATTTACTATTTATTAAGATATACTTAATAATAAAGGTCTAAATATGCTTATTAGAGCTTTAGATAAAGATTAAAAGCTTATTAGAATAGCTTAATACTAAATTATCTTTCTATACCCCCTCTATAATTCCTATTTTATTTATATTCTATTAGAGGCTTATTAGGATACCCTTAACTACTAAGAGGGCTAAGATATTAAAAAACTGCTTTATATTATTAATTAATATATCTTAATATTAAGTATTAATTTTTTTTACTTTTAGAGTTTTAATAATAAGGTTATAGGCTAAAAAACCTTCTATCTACTTTCTCTTAAGGGGTTAGGTATTACCTCTAGCGTAGAGGATATATTTAGTGAAGATTTAGATGTATTAGTAGCTAAAAGTAAAGCTAAGGGAGCTTTATATAAATACTTATAATATTAGAGCTAACTCCTACTTCTTTATAAGGTATTATTAAGCTTTTTTTACTTCCCTCTTTAATATAGTACTATTTAAATAGTAATAGATAGTAGGAGATAGTACTCCTTATTAACGTAATATATTAATAAGGCGCTTATTACCCTATACTACTATAACTATAGTAGTAAGGTCCTTAGAGGTATATAAAAGTATAATATATAGCTTAGTATTTTTAAAAGTATTTTTTTTAGTTATAGTAGTATTAAAAAGTAGGGCTAGCTAGGATGAGGCGTGTTGTGAAGCATGCAAAAGTCGCGTTTTGACGCGATTTCGTTGTGGGGGGATTTTGTTACTTGGGGGTGGGTCTTATCACCCACTCTGAGTGCCATAATGGCAGGCAAGAAGACAGCGAGGTGGGAAGCGCGCATTTTGATGGCTTTGATAATAATCTTGGAGGCTATGGAGCAGCAGTCAATGAGAGAGCTGTGAATGTGTTGCTGAGACAGAAGAGAAGGCAGCTCCCGGCGCAGCAGTCTCTTACTTATAGTTGATCACAAGTTGGCCAGACCAGAAGAGAACTTTCTCATCATGTCCCATTTCAGAATCTCACTGCCTCTGGCCGAGAACTCAAGATGGCTTGAGCTGAGGATTGCTCAAACGTCTTGCAGCGAGGCCTCGGCCGCCATCTCGCACTCTGGCAACTGCCCACGACCATCTCAACTGCGGTAAGTGGAGATTGTCAAAAGCAGTCATGAGGCAACGATGAAGTGTGTGGAGTCTGTCATCGTGAACTATTGCCGTAAGCGCAGAGCCGTATTGGTCAGCCAAGAGTTCTTATGAGTGATTTAATTGGGTGTTGAATGTAAAGAATTTTCGTTTTGCATATTGAACACCTCCGTTGGCGAATCGCCTGATGCCGTTTGAAAATACAGTCAGCAGACGCTTGCTTTGGGTGGGTTGTGGCAAAATACGGTAATATTCAGTTGTCCTGACTCTTTACGGATTACCCTTTGGGGAAATAGCAGGTATCTGTAACTTTCTCTGAATGACAGAGAGCAGAGACCAAAGTTGTGTTTCGGATTTCCTGAATAGTGCCCACGAATTGGATAAATTTGTCATGACCCTTTTCTGTGCCGTTGCTTCAAACCAAATTCGGTATCCAATTCGCAATGAATGTTTGCTTACTCTGCTCGGTCTGACACTCAACACAAAAGGGTTAAGAATTGGGACAGAGCCTGGTCTCACAAGCGCTTTGAAAAGAATCATTTTGCATAACTGAATGCATAACTGGATTGTCATATCTACTTGTCATACTCAGGTGTTGATTATTGTGACACAGAAACCGTAAGGCCAAGATCAAATTTCTTTGTCCTCTAAACTAGAGCGTTGATTGCACTTAGAGCGGGGGTGCGTTCGGATCCTCCATGCACTGATCAATCCGCATAATCTGCTTGCCGGTAGCCTTGGCCTGCCTGATGAACTCAGGGAAGTACTCAACCGTTGAGTTGTACGAAAAGTGCATGACCACCAAGTTGCCCCCCTTTGCGACATCAGAGTTGAATGCGTCCACCTGCTTCTCAGGCGTGCTTGTCTCAGCCCACAGCCAATCCTGGACATCAACGCTCCAGTTAATGAGATAGGCTGGCCTCTCTGACCCCGAGGCAGCTGCCCAGCGCTGACGCATACGCGCGCCTTCCACGCCGTAAGGTGGGCGGAAGTAGTTTGATTTCTCGCCGAAAATGTTGTTCATTACTCTGTAGTCCTCGTTGTATTCCCAGTCGATGGCAGCGTTACTCGGAAGCTCTTCCATCCTCGGGTGCGTGTACGAGTGAAGCGCAATTTGGTGGCCTTCGCTTTTCAGTTGCTTGTAGAGGGTGGCCATGCCAGTGGAGTCGTCTTCGAGCACCGCGCCGAGAGCGAAAAATGTCACCTTGATGCCCGCGTCGCGAATGATCTGCGCCAGCCTGGCAGAGTACCTTGGGTTCCCGTCATCGATGCCGAATGCAAACGAGTTGGGCCTTGTGCAGGAAAAGACGAGTGTTCCCGAAGGAAGCTTTGACGGTATGCTCACGCCAGAGGGGATGGAAGGGACAATCTCGACCTTGGTCAGGACAAAGGACTCAGTGCTGTACACACTTCTGATGGCAACGCTGCTGACACGCTGAAGGTTGATGTTGAAATGCGAAATGGGAATGTAAATATCGCTACCAGTCGCGTACCGGCCGGCTTCAAGACTGTCCCTTGTCTCAGGATATGGTGCCACACCTGAGTTGCATTGAAAATTGTGCTGCTGCAGCGCGACGGAGAATTTTGTGTGGCCCGAGTATGCAATGTGCAAGTAAGAGCCGCTGTAGCCGCGCAAGTCTCGGCAACCGTTGCTAAGTAGTGACGTGAAGGCGTAATCAGAGGCTGGCGCACTGATGGTGAGACGGCTGGAGCCCCAGGAGAGGTTCATGTCTTCGCCACCATGCCAGAAGCCAAGTGAGTTCGTGCTAGAGCTGCTGAAGGTGTCGATGACAAGCGTAGAGGCGGTTGCGGCTGGTGCTGGGACAGTCGATGTTGGTCCTGCTGGGCTCGTGGCCGTGGGAACGACCCAACCACTCGGAGTACTCCCGCAATAGAGTGATAGTGGGCCCAAGGTGATCGCGTTGCTGGGCGCCGAGAGAACAATTGATCTTAGCTTGCTCAAGTTAAGCCCGCTGAATTTGGAGAAGGGGAAACTGTAAAGCTTCTCTGTTCCGTCAAAGGTCCAACCCAACTGCGCTGTTGTTTGAATCGACGTTGCTGTAATCGCACCGTCGCAAGTCGTCTTGGAAGTCAACTCGATTTTGAATGTCGTGCCGGCGGAGGCTTTGATCCAAACCGATACACCGCCATACGTGGTAGCATCTACACAGCCGACTTGCGAAAAGAAGTACGCATCGGTAGACTTCGGTGTCAGCGTGATATGGTTGTTGCTGACGACACTGGATTGCATGGTATCATCATCACCTGTCGGCAGCAGGAGAGCATTGTATCCGAGGAAGTCAAGGCGTGATTGTGATGCCCAATCATCCACCAGAAGCGGCGAACATGAAGCGGTCGATATAGCTGTGGATCGAGTCGATGTAGAAGTGACTTGGGCAGGCGTAGAGGCTAGGACGTATGATTAACATCAGAAACACCAGAACCGAGTCGACTCGCACTCACTAGTCAAGGTTGTCGGCGTCTGGCCGCAAACGAACGAAACCTTGTCAAGTTGCCATTGCTCCGTAGACGAAAATGATTCGATGACAATAGAGACAGCCGCGTTGAGGTTCGCTCCAGTAAAGCTACTCAAAGGGATGCGCAGCGTCTGCCATCCGCCAGTAAGGCTCGTGACACGATAAGATGTCTTCGTGTTAGTCGTTGCCGAGCAGCTAGTAGCCGTCGAGAGCTGGACTGTGAACGCTGCGCCCGCAACGGGTGCCTTGATCTCAAGCTGTGCATGAGAGTACGAGTCGGTCTGCAGCGCCTGGCAAGGGAACGTTTCGTAGAAGTAAGCTCCACTCTGGGGTGTGAAGCTCAGGATACCATCAGACGCGGAGATGCTGGCCATGCTACCATCGTCTATTGAGGTCAGTGAATTGCGGGGTTCGAAAAATAGTCCGCGTACTAACCTGACGTCCACGAGCCGAGATTGTTTCGGTTTGTCGACAATGAGTTGGACAAATCATCCACCAGGAGGTCTGCTGTGCACGCAGCAGCGACAGCCATTGCACCGCATGCCGCCGCCAACAGACATTGCGCCTTCAAGTGCACCATCTTTCCAAGTTGAGGCTCTGGTTGTGAGGGTGGTTGACTTGGCAAGCCCAAAAATCACGCCGACCGACGGGAACTGTTCATCCTATATGTGAGTGAGATCACGACATGTTTACCTGGAAAATAGAGATTTGCGCCATACTCTTGGCAATGGAACGACGTGGGCGTCGCTAATGCAGTCCCTTCGGAGCCGCTAGAAAACATCGACATACAATACTGGGGCCGCTGCAACGGCAATTGGTCTCCTGGCTCCTTCCGCACTTGGCGTTCGTCAAAGGTTGCCTTTGGGTCGATTCAGCTCAAGCCAAGATCTCGTGTTCAGTCCGATGTCACCTTAGCGCAAAGTGGCGAGCATGCTGACATCAGCCACAACGCTGCACGTATAAGACGAGAAGTAATCCGAGTGGCATTTCCCCGCGATATTTCAATAGTTCCTGCAGGCCAAGCGTGAGCTAGCTGAGCAGGAATGGAACATTGGGTCCTCTCTTGTAAGCATGCCACGTTTGTGGCCCTTCGTTGTTTACTCGACTACGAGCCTCTTAGATCTCCATGATGCGACGCGTGAACTTGTGTCGCGCAAAGAATACCATAAGTATCGCTTGGCAATTGCTCCTTGTGCCACGACAGATTTAGTCACTTAAAACACTACGTGCCTATTCAAAGTTGCTCAACCTCTATGAAACGCCCAAGGCAGAAATTGCTCGCCGATTGAGATGGAAGCTTCTATAGGTCAGCTTTAATTATCCCTGTCGCACGTTGATTTGATTAAGCCAAAGATGATCATTAATTAGGCATCATCATCAAAAGTCGTGCCTTTCATGGTGCGGCGCATAGGAACAAAAGAGCTGCCAAAAGCCGATCACGGAGGCTGAATTACCGCGAGATCGTCAGGGTTGGTCCGATATTACACTGGAATCAAAAACTTCATTGTAAACCTCTAATGGCTTATACTAATTGGAGTGATGAAGTTTAGAGTATTATTGAGGCTGAAGACCTTTCTCAGCCCGAAAACATGAAGCGGGACATCGCGTAGAGAACGGTGCTGTAAACTAGACATTCGAGTTCAAATGACATTTTTAATCCTTGGACTGATACCGAATCTTCCAAAACAGTTGAAACAAGACTTTCCAACTTGCGCGAACCTGCTTCAGCCTGGCTTTGCTCTCAACTCGCAAGTGATACTGGAGACAAGGACACGCAAAAAATTACAAACAAAAATAATGAAGCTCGGGTATCGTATCCGTGATTGACTCAAGCTTATGTAAGGAGCAAAGTCTTCGTCTTTCCAACGAGCTGCAGAGGCAACGAATTTAGGCTGGAGCGCTGCTTCCGAGGTCATCTCGCTTAACGGCTGTGCCGCAGGTTGGGCAAGAGGGGGCTTTTCTGAAATTTTAGTTGAGTTCAGTTTCCAGAGAAGTCTCATCAACAGCACTTGATTATTCGAAAAGCAGTTTGGTGATGATATTGCGCCCGAAACGCGGTTTCTTGAGCCGAATCGACGCGACTATTAACCAGTCGCAAAAAGCTTCGACACACTGAGCCACCGAAGGAGTTTATATTGAGCTGGCACTCCGAATCGCAGTTGGTTAATTCATGCGTCACGAGGCATTTAGAACCAACACAGCCCTGTGGTGTTGGCATGTTTAGTGCGGCACAGCGGCTAGCGGCCCGACTGAGCAAGGGTCCTTCGCCCGGGATGCGTCTCTTTTTCCCCTTGGGCGAGGCCACATTTATATGAGCTGGGCTCCGCGATAAGATTGGCTTGATTGTTGCCAAGCTTTTTGTTGCCGCGAGCCCGGTTCGTTCTTTTTTTTTCATGCTTAAATCTACAGCTCAAAAAGACACTGTCCTGCTTCCCTCCCGAGAAACATTTATCCGCTCTTCTCGACATCTCTATGTTCATTCAAACACTCACAGAAACTCAGAGAGCACTGACGATTCCACGCCCAAGTCGCCCAACATGCCGTCCGCTACCTCGACACAGCTTTCCCAATATGTGTTCAGCAATGCTGGACCCATGACCACTGTTTGGACGCCGCCTGCATCGTGTGCCACGCCGTCGCCCCAGCTCTACCTCGCATACAACGACTCTGGCACTGTGTTTCCCAAATGGGCTCAAAAATGCGAAATCTACGATTTTGGAGACTGCTACCCTTCCGGCAAGGCCATAGACTCTGCATGGTCTTCGGCCTCCAGCGCCAACGCCAACGACATCGCCAACGCAGGGACCATCTACTACTTTTCACCAGCAAGCGTTTGCCCCCAGGGTTACACGACCGCCGGCGTGGCCGCCAAGAACGGTGCTGGAGATGTCAGCTCCTCTGGCGCGTTCGTACCTCCAGTTGTCACCGATCCTGCGTTCAAAGATAATTTCCTGTCATGGAACCCGCCAAACAATGTCTTGATGGAGGCTATAGAGGATGGGGAGACGGCTGTTGTATGCTGCCCCGAGTAAGTCCTCTCCTCTCTGTGGTTAAAAGCGCCATCTTGATCATCTAACACCAAGCCAAGGGGATATACAGCAGATGTAGCAGGCGGAGTCAGATGCTACTCCAATGCGCCTTCGTCACTCTTTGGAGATCCGATGACTGGGTGCAATTACATGATGACGGACACCGGAGACAAATATTACACATTTGCGAACGCCACGTTCACTTACAACAACACGGTTGTTACCACCGAGGTTGTTACTTACACTGGAATACAGCCGCCGGAGGCTAGTTACCCTACTATCACAACGACTATCGACAGTGTCCAGGCGGACATGTACGAGCCTGTCGCAGCAAGAGAAGGTGTTACGTTGGTGTACAGAGCGTCTGATGTTACGGGCGCTCCGGCAGGCAGTGATGCAGCTGGTCCCACGGAGACAGGCTCGAGCAGTGCCGCTGGCTTGAGAGTCATGGCCTCTGGTGGAAGAGTGGGAATGGTTGCCGTTGCTTGGACATTCGCTGCCATCGTGGGTGTCATGTTGGGCATGTCTTAGGGAGGTGCTGGTTTATCTTTGATGTCGCACGTTTGGAGATACCCCCGATGATTTACCATAGCTAGGCAACAATTATGTATAAATATCATATCACGTCTCTTCATTTTCTGCAATAGTATTACGCTATTTCTGTGGTATCTACAAGCCAAAGAGCTCGTTAAGGTCAACAACGCTGATGCTGACCTGGTTGGTGCTGCTGGGAGGCAGTCTTCCGCCACCAATGATCGCAAGCTGGCTGCCGTCTCCGAGGATCTCAAGAGCACGTGAGTAGGCGTTGGGCTGGGGTACAGCATACTCAACCCAAGCACTGGCGTCACCAAGCTTTTGGTTGACGAAGATGTTGGACTGGCTACCGGCGCTAAGGATGATGGTGCCGTTCTCGCCGCCGAGAGGGGTCCAGACGACGTAGGGAGAGCTGACGGGGCGGGTGCCGGCGCTGGAGACCAGGGAAATGCCCGGGGCCGCGAGAATGTTGAGGGGGTCCTTGGTCAAGCGGTAGTGTACGCGGCAGCCGTCGGTACCGCAGACCTCGTAGGCGAAGATGAAGTCATCGTTGGGGAGCTTTGTGATGACGGGCATGCCGGGACGCGCCTCGTAGGCATTGGGGTCATTGACATCGTCGACGGGGTCGCTCCAGGACTTGAGGTCCGAAGTAACCTGGTGGGAAAGCTTCTGGCCGTACTTAGGGTCGCGCTGATCGGCGTAGTAGATGATGAGTTCGCCGTTGTGAAGCCTGTGTAACGAGCGCTGTTAGCGAATGTTTTCACGATAGGACGTCAGTGGCTTATTGCTTACAGGAAGTGAGGCTCCCAAACAGGAGTCAGGCCGTTGTTGGGGAGGGCCTCGCCACCACTGGCAACACTGCTCAGGAACTCCCAGTTGGCGCCACCATCAGTACTGACGTAGACATCGATCTTGGTCAGGCTGAGGTCAGTGGGGATGCTGTTACCAGCGAGCAGGATCGTGCCAGCAGGGTAGCCAGCAAAAGCCTCGGGGAGCTCGTAGAGGAAGGGCTGGTAGCGAAGACCCCAGCCATTGACAGTGTCCTGGACGCGTCCGATCTCCGACCAGCTGTTACCGCCGTCGGAAGAGCGCCAGATGGGGAAATAGACGATCGGAGGCTCCGGAGAGTAGTTCTCCCAAGTGGCGATCAGGTCACCCGAGCTCAGCTGGATAGTGCGAGCGTACAGAACGCGAGGGTCAACCCAACCGGCATCGGTCGGCGGGGAGAAGATGACCTTATTCGAGACGGTACCGGTGGCCTGGCGAGGCTCGACAGGAGTAGGGAGGGGGCTCGCTGCGACTTGAAGGGACAGGAGACTGGCGATGCCAGCTACGGCGGCACTGAAGAACCTCATTTTTTAGGACGGAGAGGATTGACCGGGCTGATCTTGAGGAAATGGGAGGACCGACGGATAGAAGTCAAGTTCCTTGCAAGGGGATGAAAACTCTTAGCTTCCGCACAGCGGGGTAGCTTATATATCTCGCCATTGAAGCTCGAGAGAGGTCGGTTCTCATCGTCACGCCAAGGAAGCATCAATCAAGAACATCATCACCAGCTCAGCTTGCGTGGAGGCAAGCTTGATTCGTGACTCGTAAACATCTGATTGGAATCCACCCCCAAGCCGGTAGAGTGGCCCTGTTGGGGATAGCTGGCGGGATGTGCAGGTACGACACTGTGATCATTGGCGCGTCTGGGGTACTGTGTTTTCGCGCAACCGACAATGTGACCTCATACTGCGTGGAAGAAAAGCCGTTGGGTCGGGGATAGCTCGACCGAGAGCAATGTTACCCTCCCCGCGTTTATGGATAAGTGCCGTCGAGATCTGGGGTTGAGGTGGGGATGAACCTAGTCAAGGTTCAGTACTGCCTGCCGAAACCAAGGATGCGCACCAATGAGGCTTCGTGAATCTCTCGGAGCGAACCGGGGATCGTCTAACCCAAAGGGTTCACGTGCTATTTGACAGCTTGAATTACGGGTTCTATGAGCTTACAAAATGGAGTTTATTGCCAAGAGACATGGATTTAGCTTGGTCATTGAAAATTAACAATGGGTCTGTGAATGACACAATCGTTCTCCGCCTTGGTGGAAAGTGTCTGCGCTCCGGGCGCCTAAATTCGGGTGTGATTCGTAGGCCGAGGTCGAATTCCAGGACGATGAATCGAATGATCCCGCTTCGGGCCGAGACGACAAAGTTGCTGATCGTCAAACAACCATGTGGTGCGGTGTCATTGATCAGGGCGATCGGCACACATTGTGAGCCCAGTGCTCATTGATCGCAACAAAAGTAATGATATTTCCTCTAGTAAATCTGATAAGATATCTACAAGAAGGGGAAAATACATACATTCAGCCCTTGAAGCCCGAGTCATTTGTTCGTTACCTACGCTTCGCTGGTGAACGACACAACTCGCACAGAGCCTCCGAGAGCCTTCGTAGCATAGTTGAAGATTCCATACCGGTAACCCATGAAGAATTGCCAATCGTTGTGAAGAGAGAATGACGATCCAAGATTTGTGAAGGTCTGACCGTCAGTGCTGTAGCTGAAAACGACATTGCCAGCTCCTCCAGGCCGAATATCCGCCTTCATGCTCAGATAGACTTCCTTCGAGCCGCTGAGCGTAAGGCTTTGCCGCTGCACCACCGTGCCGGTCGAAGCCGTTGTCCAGTCCGAGTTCATGTTGATACCGCCCATGAGAATGATGTCGTACGCGTCCCCGGAACGCTCAATCCCGATCAACGAAGACTGATCGCGCAGCGCTGCGAGGCCAGCACGATCGCCGTCAGCCATGTTGGCGACATCAAGACGGACTGTGCCAGTCCCGATAGGGCCTCGAATGCGGTAGCTGAGAGTGTTGCGGGCTTGATAGAGATCGGACGTGATAGTGACAGTACGGAGAGTAAGTCCATCGTTTACCGTGAAGCCGTTTGTGTCAGGATTGTGATTCCATTCCCATTCAGGACGAAGGGTCGTTCCCGTAAAAGAATCTGTGCCGAGAGAGCTTTGGACATCAACTTTTGCGAGAGGGTACGGATAGTCTCCCCATTGGCCGTTCACTAGTGTCAGAGACGGGAATCCATCACTGCCCCAGGTAATTGGGGCAAGAACTGGAAAGCGACCTCCTGGATATCCATCTACGAAGCCCATGTAGTACCAGTCCCCGTTGGGTGTATCGACTAAGCTGCCCTGGTGAGGTGAGCCAGCACTAGGCACAGCAGTGAGGCTTAGCTTGTCAGCAAGCACCTTGACCGTGTACGGACCCCACGGGCTGGAGGATTGGAGCACGTATTGCCCATCAGGCGGTCGGGTGAGGAAGATGTAGTAGTTGCCATTTCGTTTGTACATCCGAGAGCCTTCCAAAGCACCAATGCTGCTGGGAGTGTTGTATACAACCTCCGAGCGGACCTCGGAAAGACCGTCGGCCGACAGTTGGGCAACCGAAATAGCCGTGTTTCCGTAAGCCACATAAGGAGTGTCGTTGTCGTCAAACATCAGACCAACATCGTAGTAGCAATTCTCGATCGTGCCCGCTCTTGTCCAGGGACCGGCAGGGTTCGAAGCCGTGTAGATGTACGTTTTTGAAAATTCGATGCAAGCAACAAAGTACCACAGACCGTTGCTCGCCCGATGACGAAGGGAAGATGCCCAGATGCCTTTGATGTAAGCTCTCTGACCATCGACCAGGTCGTACTTGGTACCCCAGTCGAGGGAAGGCACCGAATGGCTGAAATACTCCCAGTTGACCAAGTCTTTGGACCGCAGGATGGGAGCGCCTGGCGAGTAGTGCATAGTCGAAGCCGTCATGTAGAAAGTATCGTCCACTCGATGGACCTCGTTGTCGGCGAGATCTTCCCATATTATTGGATTGGTGAAGGTCTGCGCCATGGCATAGAGTGCCATCACGACCACCGAAAAAAGGATGGAAGACCGCATCGTTTAGTGGTAAAGGGTGAGGATCCCCAAATAAGAGCCTGTGTGATGGAAGTCAGAGTTCAAACTTCATTCATGTCGTAGGGAATATCCTCTGACTTTATGTAGTGCTTCTTGGCCATGAACGAATCTTTCGGGTTCTTTGCGGTTGATGCGAGGCCATCGGATTCTGCACCGGCATCATTGGACCGCGAGGTCGGCAACTCAGTTGCCGGCAATGGACCGTCAATTAACCTGAAGAACGCCATAAAAGGACAGACGGGGCTGACTCTCGTAAATTTTCAAATACAAATCCCACCAATCGAGAATACTTTATCTGATGATATGTTGTAAGTTTCTCGTCATTTCAATCCGGGAAGGGGGAATTTGCGAGCCAATTCGTGATAGTGATCGACATAGAAAAAAGCGCTTCAATTATACCCCAGCGGTTCGGGAAGGGGCGCGCTCTTTAGTCTTATGCTGCACATTTTAATAAATTAACTTAGATGTGTATTGACTACGTATCCCTAGGCACGGGCAAAAACTCTGCGCGCGGTTTTCGTAGGGCCTATTACTCTTATTAGGTAGATTATCTATTTATCTAAGCTACCCCTTAGTAGCTAAGAAGTACTATTTTAACCCCTATAATCTAATATACCTCTTTAGGGATAATTAGTATAATTATATAGTTATCTTTATAGTTTAATTAAGTATTTCTAAATAGCTTTAATTACTTCTTATTATTATAGTTTTAATAATTTTATAAGTTATAGAATAATAGTTTTTCTTATTATAAGTAATTAGAGTAATAAAATAAAATATCTTCTATTTTATTTAATTAATTTAAAGTTTCTAATTAGTTATAGTTTTACTAATTATTTTAGCTTTTTTTAAAAATAAAAAAGTAAGTAAATAATTTTTTATTATTTATACTTCTTATTATTTTTCTTCTTTTTTTTCTTTAGTTTTTAAGATTTTATAAATTATATATTATCTTTATATTACTTTTTTATTATTATATTAATATTTACTTTAAGTAAATTAAATATTTTATAATATTTTTTTATAATATTTTTAATATTAAGTATA